TGACTATGAGAAAAACAAGTGTAGTTGCTGCAGAGTTTATCCAAAATGGAGTAAAAGTTTTTCATACTCACATTTTTAAACACTGAGAAAAATTAAACCATTTAGGCACAATAAATTTTACTATTTGTAGCTTTAATAAAGTTTAATGAGTTTTATTGTTTTTTTTTTATATCAGTAAAGACTTTTGAAGTTATTTTCCATTTTATTATTTAAATCATGTACCTGATTACTGTTTGACTGCCCCGAAAACAACACATTTTATCTTAGCTTATCTTATATGGATGTATTTGCTTGTAAATGTTTATAACATTTTAACGATGGTTTACTTCCTTACAGAATCATGTCAATTATTCTAAATAAATACATTCTTTCCAAATAGCAATTTTCAAGTCATCTGGTGAAATATATATATATATATATATATATATATATATATATATATATATATATATATATATATATATATATATTAATTACAATATTTATTACAGAAAAAGAAAACATGACAATACCTGATTTTCCCAATATTGAGCAGCCCTAGATTTTGGTATAAAAAATCCTGAAAGAGCTTCTAATCTCTTGTGTAATAAAAAATATATATGATGCAGCCATTTTTCTAAAGTCATACACAAAGGCTGAATATATAAAAATGTATCTAGTATGGCTATTGTGCATGTCTTGCAGAATTTGGAAAATATGGTAAATTGATGATGAAAATTCAGAAAAGCATAAATTTCAAAATTCAATATTTTAAATGTAAAACACTGACACACAAATAAAACAAATAAATTAATCCAGAGGAATCTACTAAATTAATATACAAACAAAAGAGAAGCAGACACTTCCACAAAAACATGAAGCAAATCAAACGCTTTTCTTAGATAACCTTAAAAAAACAACACACTCAAATATACTCTGATAATAAGCTGAACTTTAAATTTTATAAGATATAAAATATCTCCTCTAGACACCTTGAGGGGAACTGGCTGTTCACTAAAATATCTTGAGGCAGGTTTGTTAAAAAAGGAACTGCTAAAAAAAACACATCTACACTGTAAAAAAAGCTTTTCTTACTTTACTTTTTCTTAACAAGACAACTTTAGGTAAGAAAAAGGCAATTTTTTGCTGTATAAACCAAATTGTAGTGTATATATGATTTCAGTGTCTGAATATGTAAATAATATGAAAATGCTTGTGTCAGATTCAGATATGTAACGTGTGGCATACTGTACCTCTTGTCGGCTGGTGTGGTTGCTGCTGTTGGCGGCGCATTGAGAAGTGTTTTCGGACACTGGATAGGTCGAGTTTGTGATCTCCAGCCACAGTCTGCGATACACATACTGCTGGATGAGAGGATAAAGCATAAAACTGGCAAACGCGTAAATCGCGACGACGGGCTCGATGAAGTACAGTCGCTTCATAGTGTCGTCGACGATGTGAGCTGCAAAGACAAGAATAAAACAAACAATTACATCAATCTACCATAATCACACTAATCTCGGATCTACGTAATTGGCTAACCATCAACCCCTAAACAACTTGCATCATGACAGCTTAAATTAACCGGTCAACCTGACGACCACCTTGGACAGCTACCAGTCTATCCAGTTTACTTACGGACAGCGCAGATATACTGAGGACGTACGTCTTCATCAAAGCAAATGTAGACAGATTTGCTCTCATCCGCCGAGACTCTTCTGCAAGCTCCCTGACAGTTAACAGTTGTTCTCTGTTTTGTTTATGAAACATGACATCTCACAACCTCTTATGAAACGCCGGTTTCCTGGATGTCTTTACCTGATTGGTCGGTTGAATTTAAGGATTTCAAATCATTGGTTGGTGAAGCTGCCAGTCACCCAAAACGGGCGGGACAACTCATGAAATTGCGATGGTAATGGGATTTTAGGAGCTATTCAAAACAGTGTGGTTATTCATTCTGTTGATCTTGCACTTAATTAATTTGTTATATTTCTCATATTTCCTATTTTGGTATATCTGTGATATTACAAAATATCTCTTTAAAACTTGTAATGCTTGCTCGTAAGATAGAAAATATTGTAGATAGTTCATAAAACATTGTTGCTTAATATAATAAAGTTTTATTTTACTGATTTAGAACCATTGCATTGCCCATTTTCTTAGTGTTACGCTAACATTGAGTGGGCGTTTGTAATGGGAAGAGTCTAAATGACTGAAAGAGGAAGAAAATAGAAATAAAATATAAATAAATTGGTTGTTTTAATAAACTATTGTCTGAAGAGGGCGCCTCGAGGCCCATATTGAACAATAATAAATAACAAATGTCTATGTAAGCTAAAAGCGGTTACCATGTCATTTTCATGACATTTTATTAAACTCAAAAAATGATATATGCAGCATAAAAAAAAAATATAATTTGTGACAAATTACAAATATATTCTTATTGTATTTTTTATTAAACTTTTTTCTGCACAAAACATGAGTTAGGAAGATAAAAAACATAAATATAACATAAATAAAACTTTAAAACATAATATAGCTCTAAAATAAAATGCGCAAAATCAAGAAATAAAGAGAAGACAAATGTTAGATCACTTACAGATCTACAGTACCATATATGTGGTGCATCAGATACATCTGTGAAGATCTTATTGCTTTAAGATTTTAGCTTATAATAGTGTTCACATAATTTCATTTTCAATCCATTTAACTTCTGTATATAATAACTAGCAATTATAATAATTTACCTGTTTTTTAGATTATTGCTCAAATCAGGAACATAACAGTACATAAAACCTAAAATATAATATCAATCAACAAGTGATATCGACAAAAAAGTACATACAATGTGAAAGAATATAAAAAATAGCATCATAAGATAAGGAAATAAAGAAAAGAGAGAAAGGGAAAAGAAAAAAAAGCATTAAAGGTTTTTTGTAAAACATGTGCTAATTTAAGATTACTTAAATGAAGATATTAAAAGCAGAGCATATTTTGACCACTTTTAAAGCTTTCTTATTAGCCGATCCTGAAATCAACTTTATATAATTCTCCATATCGTTAATGAAGACTACAAAGGCAGGTTTACTATTTGAGAATTTGCATTTGTGAATGTAATATTTACTTAAGAAAGTAATTTTATTTATAAAAAACATTATTTTCTTTTGTGGGGTCTGAGTCTAAATACCCAAATATAATATATTGCTGAAGAATCTTCACCTCAACAAAAATAAATCTATATTAATCCGTAACTGCTGAATGTAATGACATGACCAAAACAAATGTGTCACCGTTTCGTCACCATTCACACAAAAATAACAACTCAAGTCAGTGTCAACTCTAAACTTTTGAATAACTTTCTTAACAGGAAAAAAAAACCAATGGATCAGTTAAAAAAAACTACTTTTCTTTTGTTTACTTATTTGTGAGAAAGAATTTTTGCTGTAATGACCAGATTTTCCCCCAGTTAAGTTTATTTAAAAGGTTTTTCCAAAAGAAGATACTGTGTGGAGTGGATGCATACCTAGTGCAGATGCAATCTAAACTGCATGCAATGCTTTTTAATGAGCTCACCTAACCCCACCCCTAACCCATCACTAGCTCCATTGAGTGCATTGTGCCTGACATTGCAGTAGCAGCTTGCATCATAAAGGCTGCTTCCAGATACTATTGAAATTAATTGAAAACATTTTATAATATCACCCGTTTCTTTGAAAAAGGGTTAACTTTTACTGTCAACATTATATCGATAATATAAAAAATGCAATTAAACTAAACATAATAAACAATAATGACACATGCATTACAAAATATAAAATTAGAATAATATTAAAGTAATATAATTATAATATAAATAATTTTTATTCAATAATATGTATTATTGTATCTTACTGTCATATGTGGATAGTTCACCCACAAATGTAAACATCCTCACCATTTACTCACACTCAAGTGGTTCTATAATTTTAGTTAAAAAAATTCTTCTGTTGAACACAAAGGAAAATCTCATCTCATCTCATTTTTGTCTGCTTTTCTGGGGCTGGGTCGTGGGAGAGAACCTCAGACTTCCCTCCCCCCAGACATTTCCTCAAGATTTTCAGAAAGGATCCCGAGGCGTTCCCAGGCCTCCCTGGGTTGGTGTTCAGGAGGCATCTGAAACAGATGCCTGACATCCCTTGATGTGGAGGAGCAGCGGCTCTACTCCGAGCTTACCATATTTTTATTCATAACCTACTGAAGAGAAAAAAAAAAGTTGTTTATAGTTACTATATGCTACATAGTTGCTATAGTAGCTTATAAAATAAATACTAGTTCTACTGGATTACGACCCCTTTGGTAATTACATAATATTAAAGAAACAGCAATAGTGTCAGATGCAGCAAATTGATTTTATAGACATACATTAAAAAATTTAATGAAGAATATGCCTGTGTGTGTGTGTGTGTGTGTGTGTGTGTGTGTGTGTGTGTGTGTGTGTGTGTGTGTGTGTGTGTGTGTGTGTGTGTGTGTGTGTGTGTGCCATTGCATTCAAGATTTTTGTATTTCTAACCACCTAAGAGGATATTGGGGGTCGCGAGTCACTGGCAATGTCATTTTGGGGGTTGCAGGCTGAAAAGTTTGGGAACCCCTGGATTAAATGACCCATCGGAAATGCCAAGTGAGAAAAGTTGAATGTGCTGGGCAGTTTATTTGTCTTCTTACTGACAATAGACTACAATTTTTAATTTAAAACTTTAACATATTCCTATTTGTTTTTTAATGATATATATATATATATATATATATATATATATATATATATATATATATATATATATATATATGATGCAATATTTTTGTATTTTAAAAATAAGTATTTATTCTTATTTCTTTACTTTTTTTGGTGAACTATCCCTTTAATAATGTTTGCTTTCTACATCACATGACACACACCTAGCCAATCAGCGGTCAGCTTAAGGTCCTGGAAACGCTTCTGGGCGTAACCACAGTGCTGCTGTTTTCCTCTCTAGGTTTCTGTTGTATTTCTGTTCTTAAACTACCTGCCCCGCTAATCATTTTGTTTCTAGCCATAACGTTATACGATATCCAACCGGGGCAAGACAGGCACAACTCTGACAGGTACACAAGACCATCTCTTTACTAAGCATCATTATAAATCCACAACACACACCGACACATTAAATCTGCACTTTTCATGTTCTAATGAACACATAGCGGCTCTGTGATCAGTAAAATGTCTGTTTATATGGTTCAGGAAGGCGATGGAGAGCTAGCCGGCTAACGTTAGCCGTCAGTGCTGGTCGTGATATAGGCATTTAGGGGCTGTCAGTCTGTTTGAACTGTTGATTTTGACAGATCAAGGGCCGGTCGGGCCCGATCTTCTTCATTCTAGTTATCACACGGATGATTGCTATTATCTTGTGCGCTAACCTTCAGCCACACTCCGAGACAGTGGCCCAAGGTTAGACAGGCTGTGTATATACATACATTTAACATCCTTATAGATTTCGGTTGCAGTTTTGATTGTGATGAGCACCTGTCATCCTGTTTTTCTGCATGTTTTGTTTCAGTTAAGTCGGACATTTTAGCTCCTTGCTTCGGCTTTGATGGGATTTGGCTTGATTTTTCATCCCTCACTGTTGTGATGCTGAAATAACAGCACAGCTGATGTTTTTTCGACAGCATTGTGTTTCCTTTATCCTGCATGACCGTTAGAGCAAAAACACGAATTTATAACAGCAGGAATTGTGTAAGCTTCCCACTTTATTTCCTTCCTCTCTAATGTCAATGGTGTGACAGGGTGTACTAATAAAACACTTTGAATTGTGTGTTTTTATGGTTGCACGATGCGACATTTGCTGCACCTGCATATCTAGATTGGGGTACAATTAGTTTTATAATCGCACATTTGTCCATTTTGAAGTGATAACTTATGAGAGGGTCTCTATATTGTTTACCATGTTACTTTAAAAATTCGGTATGATATCGCATGTAATATGACTTCAAAACAACTTTAGCACTATTTATGTGAACAATGTTGTACCTTGATAGGCACTTGCTGTTATATCTCTCATATAATATCACTATTTTGAATTTGCTAAGACTTATTTTCTGAAATTATATTTTAAAGCAGTAACTCTGAATGTGCGAATATAAGACCAACTTTACCTCAGTCATATCTGAAATTGCCGGTGGTTTGAGGGTTGGAATATTGTCTCCACAACCCCTGTGTCATTTGCTTTATATGGTGGGTTTCCATTTAAATGATTTATTTTTGCATTCAGGTCTGAAATAGGTTGTGTCGAGCCATGGCATTCAGTAAAGGTTATCGTATTTATCACAAGCTGGATCCACCTCCATACAGTGTGATTGTGGAGACCAGAAATCGAGAAGAATGTCTGATGTTCGAGTCTGGAGCTGTTGCTGTACTGTGTAAGACTGTCCACACCCTGAGTTACTGAATTAAACTATTAAATGTTTAGTTAGCATTGATTCTCTGTCTTTCTTAGGTGTAAGAATCAAAACAAAATGACACATTTAAGTATTTATTTCATCTTAATAGTATGTAGTATTATGGCATGTAGATTTTAAGTAAATATTTTGATGTCATCCACAGCGGCGGCAGAGAAAGAGACCATAAAAGCATCATACACCAAGATGCTGGATGCCTATGGGATCCTGGGAGTTCTGCGTCTGAACCTTGGTACAGTTTCTCAGCCTCTGTTTTTATTTTGGCGGGTACTTGCTAATTCTGTTTGTTTTCATAACAAATCCAAATCCACCCTGTCGCCGGATTAAAAGAAAAATAGATAATTCTGAAGATAATCACCAAAACACTGAAATTCACACCAAAACAAACATTTGTGGAGGGTTAATGCATAACATACTATATAGTCAATAATTACAGTGTAACTTTGAGACTGGCCATGTACTTGTTTGTACTTGTCTTATGTTTAACTGTCATCTTTTAAAGGTCTTGGCAGTATGCATTGTCTGTATTGAAAAAAAAATATCTCAATATTTTGGGGTAATTTTCAGTAACTAAAGTTAAACTATACAGTATGTTGCTAAGTGTATGTTTGTGCAGGTTTAGTTCTGTTACTGATGAATAAATATGACACTATAACTGCCAGTAGGTGTGGCACCAAGTCCCTTTCCTAATGAGTGATTCACTTACTCGTTCATTCAAATGTTTCATTCAAAATGGCTGATTCATTTAGAAAAGAAATAGGGGACCATCTTTATAAATGGATTCTATCATTGGCTCAAAAATGGTTTCCTTCTGGAACTCAACTCTGCAGTGCTACTTGTGAGATGCGCAAATGTTCTGCTTTGGCTTTCTATTTTTTATTAGCGAAACAGAAAAAAACAGACAATATTGTGTCTAAAATGTAACTTAGTGTCAATTTGTTGTTGGAAATTAATTGATGTGTATAATAAATAATAGATTTGCGCTCATTTGCGTGGTTAAGAATATTGTGGCTGAAGCATCAAACTGATGTCAACAGAGAAGGACCGCCACTCCAAAAACAGAAGCAAATGGTCAAACGTTAATTAAAGATTACTAAAACAAACTTCAGCATGGATTATTATTAATTGTTCAATTAAAAGAAAACAATGTGCGCTATATAAAAAAGTTTGTAAATTTTAATTTTACTAAAAGCTGTTTTCTAATAGGCTTAATCCTAAATCATCAAAAAATATATTTTTGCTTGTCAAATTCAATAATGCTAGTTCAGTCGGCGCTAATGGTGAAGTGGGTAGTGCGTCAACACATGGCACCCCATGATTCCTGCCTTGATGTCCTATGCCGATCCTTCCCCTCTCTTTACTCCTAACACTTTCCTGTCTATACTCTCTACCTGTCAATTAAAGGAGAAAAAAAATGTCAGTTCACACAATGTTAAAACAACAATTACGATATAAACAATCGACCATAAATAGTACTCACTTTGACATTGATAGATTTTTCAGTAACTGATTCTTTTTCACATTTTTGTCTCTCAAATCCTGAATTTTTACAAAATATGCTTAAGCTACAAACTGACCTTCATTTTTCTTCCACAGGTGATTCTATGCTGCACAGTCTGGTGGTCGTAACAGGCTGCAGCTCAGTGGGAAAAGTCCAGGATTCAGAAGTTTTTCGGGTAACAGGCACAGACTTTGTCTCTCTGAAGAATGACCCCACGGATGAGGACCGGATCGCTGATGTCAGGAAAGTCTTAAACTCTGGGAACTTCTATTTCGCCTGGTCCTCAACTGGAGTGAGTCTGGATCTCAGCTTGAATGCCCATCGCAGAATCAGAGAAGACACATCCGACAATCGCTTTTTCTGGTGGGTATTTCTCAAACCTCCTTTTAATTTGTTTTCAGTTGATTCAGTCACAAGTTCAATTAAGTTGTCTCATGGGATTTGTTTCATGTGTCAAGAAATATTTTCTTATAAACCAAATCTCACTTGCTCAGATTGCTGAATGGGTAGAGGATACATGGATGTGATGGCTTTGTAATTATATATTAACCATGCAGGAATCAGTCCCTTCATCTCCATCTCAAGCATTATGGGGTGAACTGTGACGACTGGCTTCTGAGATTGATGTGTGGTGGCGTGGAGATCCGCACCATCTATGCTGGGCACAAACAGGCCAAAGCTTGTGTGATTTCTCGGCTCAGTTCGGAGAGAGCAGGCACACGTTTCAATGTCCGAGGCACGAATGATGATGGCCAGGTGGCCAATTTTGTGGAGACTGAGCAGGTATGCCAACAATATGATTTACCTTCAAGTAGGACTGGGCGATACTGCAAAAAAAGTATGACAATATCATGTTTTAAATAATTTGATATCGATAGTTATAGAATTTGTTTAACAATACATTTGTATTGGAATAATTTGTAACCTTTTTTTTTTAGTATTTACCAACATTACTAAGCACAAAGCATATAATTTTAACAGTCAAAAAGAAAAAAATCTAAACAAATTATCTCATCTCTTTATAATAAAATAAACAATAGTGTTACAGAGACTCTTAAACTTGATAAATAAAATGTTACAAAGTGTGCGCAATGATAAAGGAAGAGGTAGATCAACATACGTAAAGTGTCAATAATAATGATACAGTAAACCTCAAACTCTGTTAACAAATTCTGATAATCAAATCTAAGCTTTGAAGTAAAGGAACCAGCCATCAATACTCAAATACATATTACAAGATTACAAATTGTGAAGTTGGATGACTATATTACCCCTTATGCTAAAAAATATTTCAGATGGGGAGCCAGTGGCTGGGATGCACAAGAAAAGAAACCAAAAAGCCACTCTGGTGACATCCTTACATTTTGTTTATTGTTTACCATCTTCTGACTGCTGTGAGACAGCACTCCTTTTTGTATGTGTTGTTAATCTGACCTGAAGTGGCAAGTGCTTGCACGTGCTTTCTCTCACCATTTTCTATGGCGTCTCTCATAACTCGCCAATCATCGACCATTTTCTCAAAGGATGACAAACGGACAAATTGCAGCAGCTTCAAAAGAAGTTTATGGTGAAAAGTAAAATGCAATGCTGTTTTTGGGTGTGCTGTGTTTGTCTGAGGTAATTAGTGTGCCGTTACTGAAATGTATATATTATTTTCATACGAGGTGTGAAGCACATTAGTTCGTTCTATTTGCATGAATCACGGTAAGCTTGGAGCATTCGGAAAATGTTCAGATGTTTTTCAACTAGGTGCACCTGGAAAATGCGCCTCTATTTGAAACGACAAACTGACACCCTAGGCTTATTGGTACTGCTTTCAAGGCGCGTGCTCAACAGCCGCATTCAAATACAGAAATACCAACCGCTCTATACCGAATCTTTTTTTTTATCGATATTAACTATGGTGTTCGGTCAATAAATATCGATACTGATTTTATCGTCCAGCCCTACCTTCAAGTCACCTTTAAACTCACTTCATTAATATTCTAATGGACTTCGGTCATTATAGACCAAGGTTTTGTATTTTTCAGATAATAAAAATGGTTGTTGTCATGGAATGCTGAAAAACTTGAGGACTTTCATGACTCTTGTAGCAATCCTGGTTCACACATAACGCAATTTTTGGTATGTGTAGATTACATACAAACAAAGTAAATGAAAAAATGTGTGAATAGAGGCAAATTTCCACCGTGTGGTGTAAATGATGTGGAATTTGTGATGCGTTTGTCGTGAGCCATGGAATTCGCCTTAAGCGCATTTTTTATGCAAGTTAAAAAAATTTAACTCTTGTGGAAAATCCACATGAGCCGAAAAACATCCCCTGAGTAACCTAGAGAGAGCAAATTAATGATTCGCTTTGTGTTAACCCAGCATAATAAATCTAAAAATTAGCGATATGATAAGAAATTACTAAATGATGTTAAAAATAATCTCCATAAATAACTCTATGCATATATACATAATTACAATCAGCATGAATAGAACTTAAAATATATTTAAAAATGAGAATGCATGGTGTGTAACTTAAAGGTGGACATTGTCTAGAATCTTGAAGTCAAAATACAGAATATAAATAAATAAAAGTTATTGAAACTAAATTTGCTATGCTTATTCAGTAGAAAAAAATGACCCTTTAGTGAGAAATACAAGTAAAATATACCAAATGTGACATGCCAATGCTGAGGTTCTGTTTTCACTTTTGTTCTTTGCAGATTATTTTCCTTGATGACAAAGTATCCTCCTTCATTCAGATCCGAGGGTCAATACCGCTATTCTGGGAGCAGCCAGGAATTCAGGTACCATAAAGCCTTGAATCAATATGACGTATGCATGTATTCAAATCGCACTGAGGAATAATATTTGCATTGCGCTCCACTGAACCGAGTCTGTTTGAGATCCAAACCCCTGCTGAGTCATCATAATCAACTAATTCTCTTGTATTTCCACCTCGCCTCACACACAGCCACTGCTGACCCGCTTTATTCATATTATCAGAAACACTCGATTCAGGGGATTTTGTCGCAGCTGAATCAAAGTCGAGAGCCGAAAGGACAGCATGGAAAGCAGCAGCTGGTATTTCGAAGGTTTAGTTTTGTCTGGTGGTTGATCTGTTCTTTACTGTGAAGAGTCTGTGCAATGTTAGTCAGTGAAAGCTGCATCTAAACAAACTCATTTTGGAAAAGAGCCAGATTTTGGAGAAATGTAAAGCCTTCTTTTGAAATCTGTTAAAGATGCCAGGAAGCAGGTCTGGAAATGCCTGTGTCTTTCCTCTGACATTGCATAGACGTTATCAGCGCTGCTTTTAGTGGGAAGCTGGTGAGGTGACCCTTCTTGAGCTGTTTTTTCAAAGCTTTCCACAGAACCTGAATGACAGGTGGCATTGCAGGCCATAGCGGAATTGGTTAAAGGGATAGTTCACCCAAAAATGAAAATTCTGTCATAATTTAACTCATCCTCCACTTGTTTCAAACCTTTTTCAGTTTCCTTCCAATAGCTATGTTTCCATCCAATTATATGAAACATTTGCAAATAAAGCAGTTTCCATCCAGTGAGCAGTATCGGCAGATTTCAGTAGATTTTCAATAATTTGTGTACAATTTAGTCTTTAAAAGCGGTTTTCTTAATCAAACTAAGTTCCTGGAGGGCCGCAGCCCTGCATAGTTTAGTTGCAACTTAGCTTCAACACACTTACCTATAGGTGTCAAACCAGACTGAATGACTCAATTAGTTTGATCAGGTGTTTTTAATTAGGGTTGGAACTAAACTGTGCAGAGCTGCAGCCCTCCAGGAACTGAGTTTGACATCTGTGCTTTAAAGTAATATGTTCTGTCTTTCTGTCTTCAGTCTGTAATTGCTGACAAAAGTGCAAAAGTGCATTAACAAAGTATTGAGCAGAGGCTTTGAATACTTCTGTACATGTGATATTTCAGGTGTTTTATTTTAAATAAATTTGCAACAATTTCAAAAAATCTTTTTTTTCACATTTTCATTATGGGGTATTGTATGTGGAATTTAGAGGAAATAAATTAATTTAATCCATTTTGGAATAAAGCTGTAACATAAAAAAATGTGGAAAAAGTGAAGCGCTATGAATACTTTCCGAGTGCACTGTAAGAGACCAACTGTAGCTTTGTTTAGTTTTAGTTTTGGTTGTAAAGCTTAAATAAAAGTTATTTTTTATATTATATGTTCAGTTCCTACTCTCTCAGAATCATTTTGCATAAATAAAGAGAACACTATTACTATTGCAACTTCTTGATAAACGGGTGACAAGTATCAAAAAGAAAAAATTGCTGTTGTATAAGAAGTTAGTGTGGACCTTTTTTTCCACATTATTTTATTACTTGCACCTCGGAAGGTGAAGACTAAATAAAAATGAGCACGGGTTGGCTTTTGGTAGCGTAAGATGCTTTTTGGGAGCACAGCTGCTCAAGACAGTTCTGAACAGTATTAATACTGAACCACTTTGATGTCAGACTTTGGTTTAAGGGATTTTAGAATGACCATTACATCTTAGAGTGACCATTAATACCATTCCACTACACATTCCTGTTATCACGTGATCAAATAAACAAAAAAATCACATATTTTTTATTCTTATGCTAGAATATATTCTCTAAATGTGTTTACTTTCTAATTTATGCACATTTTTGTTATTGGATAAGTTTATCCTACTCAGAAGTTTTTTTTTTAAATCTATGCACATCTTGCGAGTTTTCATTAAGCGTTTTTTAAATGATAACCCAAAATATGCATAAAAGTAGGTGATTTGCAACATAGCTAATCTTAAAAACAAAATACATTTCGAAAAATGTTGTAAACTAGTATTCATTGACTTTCGTAGTACTCTTTTCCTACTATCAGTGGCTACTAGTATCCAACAATCAAAATATATTTTTTGTTCAACAAAAAAATAAGTGGATACACTTGAAGGAGAGTTAATAGCGAGGAAATTAATTTTTTTTAATGGTGAACTGCCCCTTTAAAGGATTCCACTGTCTTCAAAGCTAGGTGTGAAATCAAGGAAGTAGTCGCCACATGATACTTTTTCTTTGCTCCCAAAAGCTCATGGTAATGTGAGCTTGTCGTTGCTGCCATTCCAAGTGTATGAAATTTTAATGGCCAGAGCAGAGGCAACAAACAGAACTGGGTGGGTCAGACCGACGCCTGCTTTTTAATGCCAGCAACAACCCTTTGTTGGATATAGAGCGAAACAGTCATCTAACATCTCATGCATATTGGAAAAACAATGTAAATACTATGTTGACATATTTAGTAATAATCAGTTTTATTCGTCAAAGGGACAGTTCATCAAAAAAAATGGAAATTGTTATCATTTACTTACCAATTTATTTGTTCCAAACCTGCTTGACTTTCTTTTGTTAAACACAAAAGAAGATACTTTGAAGAATGCTGGAAACCTATAACCATTGACTTCCATTTTATTTGTTTTTCTACTACAGAAGTGGTTAAAGGTTTTCATTTTTAATGTTCAACATAATAAAGAATATCATCAATGTTTGGAATAATTTGATGATGAGCAAATAGTGAGTACATTTCAATTTTTAGGTGAACTATCCCTTTAATTTTGAACCATTTTGAAGTACTTTTTGGTAACACTGGTAAATACACTTGGGTTAAAATTTTAAAACGTAAACTGGTAAAATAAATTGTACTAAAAAAATAGGCAAATGTTAAAGAACAGTCTATAAACGCTATTTCAGTGTCACCCTTGTTAAATAAAATGCTATGAACCATTCATATGAAAGGAAGAGGAACCAATTGTGTTCAAAGGTGTAACCATTTCATTGAGCGAGACTGCAGGAAATGAGAAGTTAGTCATAGCCTAGATGAAAAAAGTCTTCTGTTTTTTATGATGGCTGGAAGTTTAAATATAAATCATTATACGCAAGGCTGTGAGGCCATTTGGTCAAATGTCACATAACTAGAAAACCATTATAGATATGAGCTTTCTGCTAGTAGTTGTTACTCCATTAGATACTCCAACAGCATGCATCATGACTGTTTAGCCAGTTTATAAATTTGTAATTGATGCGATTTCGAGCATAATCGGTATTTTTGATATTAGTGAGTTTCTGAAATCATACGTTATGGCTCTACTGTCTTATTCTGCTCAAATGCAGCTCTACTCAGCAGGCTGGCAAAGCCTGTGTATTTTCTTTCTCATCTTCCTTCCCTCTGCCACCTTCATTTCATCTGCATCAAGTATGAAACGGCTCATTTTCTCTTCATTTGCTTTTTTGTCTTTCCTCAAAGGTTGGATCCCACCGCGTTAAGCTGTCCCGTGGTTTTGAAGCCAACGCGCCGGCTTTTGAAAGGTAATTACGATTCTGCTGCTCTCTGATTATGATCGTGATGGTGTCCTGCTGCTCTGGTTAAAGCTCAAACATTAGTGCATGATGAAAGTGACTCGGCCGTCATTTGCTTCCGTCAGTGCTGTTATTTAAAGGGGTGGTGAAGTCAGCTATTTTTGATAGGTCTTGATTCTGTTCATGGTGTGCGCTGGAACATGTCTATGCTTTTTAAAAAAAAATAAAAATTATGTATTTTAACTGTAATATTTACTTATGATTCTCTTTTCCTTTAAGGTATAGTTCACCCAAAAATGAAAATATCCTCGTCATGTATTCACACTCTTCTTCGCATCTCATCTAATCCTAACACATCTTATCTTTTCATATCTTATCATATCATATCATATCATATCGTATTGTATCTTATCTTATTGTAACGTATCGCATCTTAATGTAACTTAACGTATCTTTTCATGTAGTATCGTGTCTTAACTTATCATATCTTAATGTATATTATCGTATCGTACCTTATCGTACCTTATCTTATCACATTTTATTATATCTTATCGTATCGCATCTTTACGCATCTTAATGTATCTTATCGTATCTTATCTTACTGTATCCTAACGTATCATATCTTATCGTATCTTATTATATCTTATCATATCGCATCTTTACGTATCTTAATGTATCTTATCGTATCTTATCTTACTGTATCCTAACGTATCATATCTTATCGTATCGTATCATATCTTAACGTATCGCATCTTAACGTATCTTATCGTATCTTATCTTATCATATCTTATCGTATGATATGGTTATGGTATTGTATCCTGTTGTGTCGTATCCTGTCTTAACGTTTTGCATCTTAACGTGTCTTATCAAGTCGTATTGTATCGCATCTTAACGTATCTTAACGTATCTTGATATATCTTATCGTATCTTATTATATCTTATCATATCGCATGTTTACGTATCTTAATGTATCTTATCGTATCTTATCTTACTGTATCCTAACGTATCATATCTTATCTTATCGTATCATATCTTAACGTATCGCATCTTAACGTATCTTATCGTATCTTATCTTATCATATCTTACCGTATGATATGGTTATGGTATCGTATCCTGTTGTGTCTTATCCTGTCTTAACGTTTCGCATCTTAACGTGTCTTATCAAGTCGTATTGTATCGCATCTTAACGTATCTTAACGTATCTTGATGTATCTTATCGTATCTTATTATATCTTATCGTATCGCATCTTTACGCATCTTAATGTATCTTATCGTATCTTATCTTACTGTATCCTAACGTATCATATCTTATCTTATCGTATCGTATCATATCTTAATGTATCGCATCTTAACGTATCGCATCTTATCATATCTTATCGTATGATATGGTTATGGTATCGTATCCTGTTGTGTCGTATCCTGTTGTGTCGTATCCTGTCTTAACGTATCGCATCTCAACGTGTCTTATCGTGTCTTATTGTATCGCATCTTAACAAATCTTAACGTATCTTAATGTATCTTGATGTATCTTGACGTATCTTGACGTATCTTATCGTATCTTATCGTATCTTATAGTATCTTATCTTGTAATATTAACATTCTTCAAAATATCTTATTTTGTGTTCAATAGAATAAATTAACTTAAACTGTTTTGGAACAAGTTGTTTATGAGTAAATGATGTGACAGAGTTTTCATTTTTGGGTGAACTGTACCTTTAATAGGATCTGTAGACTTTTTAGTTTTTTGAAGACCCTCCCTCAGAAATGCGCAGCGGACCCTGATTGGCCCTACTTTGTTATGATTTGCTAACTGCCTATTGAGCTTTTACTACAAATGTCTAGAGTGTAAGGGCCCACTCACACTATGCTTTCTGAACAGTGCCCAGGCCTGTTTACCGGATTGTTTGAGAATTGTGAGTGCTTTGAATCGAGCTCAGGTGCCCTGAGCACAGTTCACTTGGGCTTTGGTGCAGTACGCTTGTGTGTGAGTGCAAAACGCGCCTAAGCACGAAAATAAAAGCGAGATGGGACCGTTTCATATGGATTTATTAATCAATCTTATTGTACAGTGAACGCAAACTGTCACAGTTTATTAAAGACCCAGACCCCTCACTGCATGACACCTCCTAATTCCTGCAGCACGAGTACTTTATGATTGCTTATGAGCGTTAAAAGTGGCTGATATGTTCGGCGCAATATTTGACTGCCTGTCACTGCATATCAAACAACTTAAATGAAAAAGCTGAAGAAATCTCCACTGTGCTGAGCGAAAGCGCTTACTGAACAGCGCAGCATCGATGACGTAATCGTGCCCAGGCCCGAATGTACTGTAATGTGAGTGCGGGCCATCGGGGGAGATGGGAGGGGGGACAATCGTGCTTTGGCCCGGTTCAAGGTAACTGTACATAGTGTGAGTACGCCCTAAAATAGAGATGCCAGGGTGGGGTTTATGCACATTTTGTTGGATTTTTTATGTTGGTGATGTTCTAAATTCAGCAAGAAGTTTGTTTTAGTCTCTACTAAGCATTAGTTGTAGGCGTTAATGAGCAAAATATCTCCTGTTGCATTAACGTATGAGCGATGTAACTTTGTCGATGTTGTTTATGCTCACATTGCAACTGAACACGCTAACTGAAGTTTAAAAAGTAAGTTCATAATCATGCACTGTTTGTGCTTTAGTGCAGAGTTGCACAGTTTGGAAGGGCAAGTTCAGTCGTGCCTAAGCATGTGTTTTCAAACAGTCGCTGGGTAATTGGGTCTGTCAGAGGCTGATCAGATGGGTTTCGTTGGTGGCGTTTATAGACAGCACAGCTGGATGAAGTGCAGCAGGGGGTCTTGAGGCGCAGTTTAAAAGTGAAACTTTTTAAGTGGACTTATTGCTTTTTTATAAATGCAGACTATGGATATCTAATATAAAGTGGGACCAAAATAATATGTGCTATACATTGCAAATGTTAAAAGACTAAATATATAAAAATAGTAGTAAAAGAATAATTATTAGGAATTAAAAATGGTATTTCTACTAAACTAAATTGCCGGTGTTTAAATAAAATAAATGTTTAAAAACTGCAGGTTTTTTTTTTTTAATTACATTTTTTATAATAATTTGTAAAAAAAAAAATGTAAAAACCTTTTGTGTGAAATACTGTAGTGAATGATTTATTTTATTCCATTTAATTTAGTTGTGTGTACATAAATAAAAATGTTTAAACTGTTCAAACTGAAACAAATGTTAAAAAATAAACAAAATATTAAGTTTTTTTAATATGTTTTTTTAATTGTATTCATATTTTTTTGTTAAATCAAGTAGTGAATGGTTTACATTATTCCACTCTGTTCAGTAGCGTGTTGTTGTGTTTTTATTTCCTTTTTTTTTTTTTAACTAAAGCCAGTTGACAATTTTTTGGGGTGCGGAAATGCAAAACTAATGTTCTACTGAACACTATGATTTGCTGGGTGTGTGCAACTGCTTTTTTATATTATAAATTATTTTATTATCAAAGTAAATAATCCTTTTACATACTGTATAGCACAATTGTTGTGAAAATGTATTCATTTTTTTTTTATTTAAACAAATTTTTGCAATGCATGCAAGTACTTTAAATCAAAACAACTTAAAAACCTAAACCAATTATTTATCAAAGGTTACATTGGATCCAATGACAAGTCTAGAAGAGTCTGTGTTAGCCTGTTCAAGCATTTGCTACATTGCAGCAAACTGATAACCCCCATGACCTTTTAAAGGTTACTATAGAAATACTCCCTCAGTGCTCTTCCTCAATAATATTCCCTTTAAAACATGACTAGGTTGTTTAAATAATAAGATCACCATAAAGTAAACCTAATCCTGACTTGTTGTGAGTGGTATTTGTTGTGATTTAGCTGTGGCTTACGCTGAGCATCATGGTATTTTCTTTTTTTTATCATGAGTCACGCTTCTGCTGAGTCAGGTCTGATGAGAGGAAGGAGACGCAGAAAACACAGTCCTAAGGCTTTCGTTCCTCGTCCTCCATCTTTAATCATCTATTGATCACATCACTGCTTTCTTTGTTTTAAAGTCATCTTTTTAAAGCTACTTATTGATTCCATCTCAGAAGGATTAATGTTTTGACTGAGTCTTAAAGGCACAATTCACCCAAAAATGTAAATTCTGACATCATTTATTCATCCTCCTTTTGTTCCAATCCTTTTTGAAATTCTTCTTCTGTTGAACAAAAAATAAGATAATTTGAAGAATGAGGGCCCATTGACTTCTATTTTTTGTTTATTTACTATGGATGTCAATGACTACCAGTTTCCAGCATTCCTCATAATGTTTGTGAATTTTTGTATTCAGCAATTTAATAAACCCATTATTATATGAGGGTGAGTAAATGGATTTTCAGTAACACTTTAAAATAATGGTGTATTTAGTTAATGTATTTACTAACATTAAGTATGAATAATCTTGTAAAACAGTTATCAATCCTAGTTCAACATTAACTAATGCATTATTAAAATTCAAAGTTAGCATTGTTAACTTTGCTTGTTGCTTGTTAACATTTGTTCATGCACCGTGAGCTAATTTTTCTTAAATAACATTAACAAACATAAATAAATTCCTTAATAAATGTATTACTAATAGTTTCTTCATGTTCGTAACTGCATTAATTAATTGATTATTATTTTAAAGTGTTGTTTTTTTGTGGATTTTCTAGGAATGATTATTTTTAGAAACCTAGACTCACTGGAAAAACATGCCTCTAACAATTAATAATTTGTACGCATTTTATAACTCCAAAAATGTAATGTAAAAATGTAATTAATATACAATTATAGAATCAATTAATTTTGTATTTTGTGCACTGTTATATTATATTGACACCTTAATATTTTTCTATAGATCATGATTTGTAACATATTTTAATAATTCCATCACATAAAAATACATAAAGCATTTTATGTTAGGATCTGTTAACTTTTTCATTTAAATTTCATTTAATTTTTATAATGATTGATTGTTTGTATTCATGTTTTTCTGTTTTCATTTTTTTGAACACTGTTTTAATGTTTAATTGAAATTTTTGTAATAAAAACGCTTATTCCATTTAACAGTTAATTAAGGTCATGAAAGTAATTCAACTAATTTACAGCTTATACAATTAAAGTTTTACAAAAATGTTGTCAAAAATGACAACCATTCATACTCGCAGAACATTTAAACTTCATATTTAAATAGTTTTCGTGCAGTTTAATACTATTCACATACACATAATGCAGCATGATTAGATTTCCTTTAGATGTTGCATTATACATGAAAATACGTTCAATTCAGCTATTCGGTTTGGGTAGGAATTAGGTTAGTCAATTAGGTTTTCAGTTAACGTGCACAATAGCTCAGTATAATGTGCAAGTGTGCGGAATAAAAGTGTTTTAATCATAATTTTTGAACACTGTTAGGTTTAGTTTTGGTGACTATGTATACAGGTTTAGTGTTATTAGTGTGTTGAGCTTTGAGTGTCACTTGTTGGATTCATGTGAATAAACCATTGCAATAAAACGTTTCCACAGTAATCTTTATCTATTTCTGAGAAATCGAAAAGCTTTTTTTATTTGCACCACTCTCTGAAAATGTGGTGAACTATGCAGGAAACAATGTAATATAATATTTGCAAATATTTTGTCACATACTTGTGTTTTCATGTGGCTGGGTTGCTATTATTAACCCTCTTTGACATTTCCTGTGCAGACATTTCAGTGCTCTGAAAAGGCTGTATGGCAAACAGTTGATCATCAATCTTCTGGGAATGAAGGAGGGTGAACACATGCTCAGCAAAGCATTCCAGGTGATTGTTGTTTTATTTATTTTACATACTAGTCGGACTACAGTGGATTAGTCGGTGCTTAAAGTGTGACCAGAGCATAAAGCAGTCATTCCGCTTCCTTTACCGTGTTTTGTTTTCGCCCACAGAGTCACCTCAAAGCTTCAGAGCATTCCAACGCTGTGAAAATGTTGAACTTTGACTATCATCAGATGGTTAAAGGAGGGAAGACTGAGAAGCTTCAGACTGTGCTGAAACCTCAGATCAGCAAGTTTGTGGAGGATTGTGATTTCTTCTACTACTCAGGGGAAACCGGCATTCAGAGGTGGGCCTATTTGATAACTAGTCATTTTTCTTGAATGTACATATGTAATGGATGTTACATGTAAAGTATTTTATTAAAGAATCCTAGTTTTTCAAGGGACTTCGGTACAATTTTACTGTGATATGGTCAAATATTGTGTGTGATATAATGTAATATGTGATGTGACAATATGTGTGATAAAATACAATGTATAGACTAAAATGTGATACAATACAATACGGAACTGCAGTGATTAATGAGTTGATAAAATGTGGATTAATCAAATAATTTAAATAAACAACAAATAAAACACAATAATTTTTTAAAATGTATTTATTTACATGTTTTGTGATTAATACATTAATAATCTATTAATTAATAACTTGTTTACATGATGAAAATATCTTTAATAAAAAGTTATAAGTGTTTTAAAATAGAAATAATTTTAGTTGTGAAAAGTGTAATAGTGAAAGTGTAAATGTTTTAAATTGTTGAAACATTAACTTAAAATAAAGTGAATATTTTTAACAAAAAATTGTGAATGTAATGGATAATTTGTTGCAAATTGTACAAAATCCGTAAATTAATTAAATTTACAGCAAGGTTTTATTGGTTAGCATTAGATAATACATGAACTATGCATTAAATATATCGCTAGTATATTTGCAGCAATGAGCAGTACGTTTGTATTTAATAATCTTTGTTAATATAAATATAATTGTTCATTGTTAGTTCATTTTAGCTCAGGTTTTTTTTAACTAAAATGTTTACTTTAATAATGTATTTCTAACATGAACATTCAGCAAGCTTAATAAATACCTTAAAAGATGTTTTAATTGTTAGTTTAATTTACAAATCCGTTAATTTTTGTATTTTTTGTTGTTAACAAATGGACTACTATTGTGTAATATTACTGAAATAACATTTTTAACTTAACAACTTATTTATAAAACACTATGAAATAGTTGGCTAATGCTGATGATCAAAAATAGCCAAAACTAGCTGATTACATTTCTACCACTTTTTTTTTTTTTTTTTTTTTACCACAGATGTCAAAGCGGAACCATCCGTTCCAACTGTCTGGACTGCTTGGACCGAACAAACAGCGTCCAGGCCTTTATTGCACTTGAGGTGCGTTTGTGATATGCATTGGTTTAAGCCCTGGTCAGATCACACGATTTTTATTGCCGGTTACGAAAATCTTTATGTCAGATTATGCGATTTTTGTCTCGGTAAAATCTTGACTTTTCATGGATAACAAATGTCCCAGACTACACATTCATTCACGATCAGTCATCCAGTGATGTCTACGATGAGCGTTATTTAAAGCTATAATAAGTGTTGCTATAACAATATTTCTTATCTCAATTTTTTTTTATCTTAAATCAATCTCAGTAAACATTGATGCTTGCTGACAACTAAGCTACATTATTTAAAGGCATTCTTTATGATCTTGATAGGATCAAACGTATCATTCCTTTTTATATTAAGATAATTTCTTTGAAATTTGAATATATATTTTCCTGCCAATGTTGCTAATTATTAGCCTCTTGTCTAAACATGCTGCGAGTGAGACAGAAAATGAAATCACATCAGCAGCAAGGAAAATCAGATGCTCCAATGCTTTTGCAATGTATTCACAGCACTGAACATGTTCCCAGATTACCTAGGAAGAACAAACTCCGTTGGAAGGATGAGAAAACTCAGAAACTCCTTGTGAGAATGGAGATGTCTGCATATTTGTGCCAGACTGTCAGTTAAAATTGCTTTAAACACCTTAATAATTTTGAAAAATAGTTGGAAGTTTGCATAACCAATGATTAATATTATCCACCTGTGACCCACCCATAAATAAATATGCAGCCTATTTTTTGATTACCTGACTGTTACATTAACGGCAGCACATGCTGAGATTAAGGAATGAGAAAAAGAATTAAACATGCTGCGTTGGTTTCATGAGGCATTGCAGGCAGGGTATTGGTTGTCATGAACTATGCCACATTACACGAGAAGAAACGATTGAATCTTGTGTCACAATGCCCATTTGTCGTTTATGGATCCCCACGACACCCTACGTCAAGGAAATCGTGGCGAAATTGTGTGACCTGACTAGGGCTTTACTTGTTCCTAAAAACTTTTAGGGCTGCATTCATTCTTGTAATACGTCTCTGTTGTTTAGATGCTTCCCAAACAGCTGGAAGCCATGGGTTTGACAGAGAAACCTCAGCTGGTGGCTCGTTTTCAGGAGGTTTTCCGCTCCATGTGGTCCACCAATGGAGACTCCATCAGCAAGATCTACGCAGGCACTGGTGCTTTAGATGGCAAGGCTAAGGTACGTGTTGTCCTGTGAATCTCAAGTAAAACAATACGCTGAATTCTCTCTCAACGGAGAAGTGAAAATGGGCGTTTTTTTGCTTTTGAGTTTATGACTGTCTCACTCATGTGTATGATGTTTCTCTTTGCATTCCTATGGCTCTTCCTCTACCTTTGTGGTAAGTTGACAGTAGCTTGTTGTTTCTATTTGAGTGAGTTGTAATGCTTTATTTATCCTGTCTGTGCTAGTAGAGAGAGATTACTGCAGCTGGGAGTGCTGTCAAGTTTAATTTGGCCTCTTTTATAAGTGGCTATAAACGCCTGTAAACCTCTCCCAGTTAGGCCTCAGACCTTAGGATTAATCTTAGGCTATGTTTACACGACCATGATGTAGCCATAAATGAAAAATTTTACCATTGCATTTAATAAAAAAGGTAAAATACTTGCATAACAAAGCTAAAATGTCAGTACTGTATGTGTGTGAATGAACGTTTATGGGTGTTTCCCGGTGATGGGTTGCAGCTGGTAGGACATCCGCTGTGTAGAACACATGCTGGATAAGTTGACGGTTCATTCTGCTGTGGCGACCCAGATTAAGAAATGAATGAATAAATTTACATAACAAAGTTTTCAAAACAATCCACGTAAGCGAAAATGACCAAAAACACCGTATTACGTATGCCAGACCAGTATTTAGCGTTGTCACCTAGTCCTAATGTGAAGTAAATCTACACTTTTTTGATTGATTGTTAGCAAACAAAACTTCCGCTTTGTAACCTGCTTTCAGATTTATATGTTTTCATTTTCAAAATCATCATTGTTTTGTAAACAAACAGGCAAAACACAAATTAATTCGAGTTTCTTGTTGCTTAAATGTCCCCTGACTTACAGGGTGTGCGATTTTTGATGAATAAAAAGTCTTGATCAGCTTATAAGGCTTATGATAATTAACTGATATTTTGCTGACTGTTTTTGTGACCATGCTTTGGCTGGTTTTGTCCTGTTATGGATAAATAAATATGACCCTAAAATTTCAAGTGATTCAAGTGTTCAAAGTTCAACTGATTCGTTCAAAGCGCATGACTCATTTTGAAAGTAAGTGATTGACTGTTATATGAATGGATTAATCAATCATTACGGCCCAATTCTGTTTTTGTACCCCTACCACTTTTCCTTCCCCTTGGCCCTTGAAACGGAGTGTGAAGGGGAAGGGCTTCAAAATTTACCCTTAAGAAATGGGACACCACTACAACACCTGCACATGTCATCATATGTCATCGCAATCTTTTGCTTTATATGAGATCAGATGATTGCCTTGCGTTATTCTTGGGAATTTATCTTCAGGAAATCCCTGAAAGCATATATCATGTTATTTAACAATATAATGTGGCAACAAGCTCAAAACTATACTGCGCATTTACACCGTGGCCATATTCATCTTAGTGAAAACACGAAAACAACATGAACATTATGCCAGACACTAAGCTGATTCACTGCCAATAGACTTTTCTGACAGGGTATTTGAGTGTCATAGAGTGAAAATATGTTGTGGAATTGCAATATGCTGAAGGAGTTATTATGAGTTCTGGATAGTGAAATTTATCAGTTTTTATTTTATTTTTTTTAAATTTTTTTTAAACATGACGGTAAAACACGAACACGGTTATGAATATATTAAAACAGGTGCTTGTTTGTTGTAAAAATTTGTAATAATGACAAAAAATACAAATTTGTGCATCTCCTGACTTCCATGTGTAGCCATTTTGCCGTTGTGGCTGGTATATTCTAAGAAATTTTCTACAAAGTGTGGTCCTGAACAATCTATGTTTGAAGGAGTATCTAGCCCTTCCCCTTAGCCTTATGCCTTCAAGTCAAAGAGAATTGGGACACGCCTACCCCTCGTTTTGCATGTTCACATGAAGGACTAGGGTTGTCCCAATTCTCTTAAGTAAGGGGAAGGGCTAAGGGGTAGAATTGGGCCTAACTCACTAGATTCGCTCAAAAACAGATTATTTCATGAAAGAAACACTGCTGTGTTGCTCTGAGATGTAATAATGTTTAGCTTCTGCTGTCTTAGAACTAATCTCTTTGACGAAACCCAAAATAAAATACAATATTGTGTGTAAAATGTAACTCACTCAAAAGTGATACTAATAGCAAATTTGGAATTAAAGTCTTGGTTATGGAATATTAATCATAAAAAAACATAGATTGTTGCTTTTATAACTTGAGTTAAATCTCAAAATTAAACATTTTAACTTCATTCTAACAGGCTTCGTCATGCAGTAAAAGCTCTCAAAAATGTTTAATCCTTAGTGCTAGCTCACAATTACATTATATTATCATAGACAGTAGATATTGCACACCATTACTAGTTAGATTTAAAAAAAATTGGTGGTACAAAGAAATGTAGGTATTCATTATTCCTTTGAATACATGTGCATGAGTGTTGTTGTTTTTTATTTTCTTGTTTTCAACTTTCAACGTTTCAGTCCTTAACTCTTTTATATTAACTATTTTGTTTGGTTTTGTTTTTGTTTTCTCGCAGGGCGGAAAGCTAAAAGATGGAGCTCGCTCGGTCACCAGAACCATCCAGAACAACTTCTTTGACAGCTCTAAACAGGAAGCCATTGACATCCTGAGACTGGGCAGCACCCTTAACAGTGACCTGGCAGATAAAGCACGAGCACTTCTCACGACAAGCAGCCTATATGGTACAATTTACAACAACACACTCCATTAGGGCTGAGCGGTATGACGGTATCTATCGTTAACGCAGAATGAAATGTGTACCGTAAAATAATTTTTATTCCATGTAGGCCGTGAAATGAAAATAAGTGGGCATGGCCATTTTTGCTTTAAATAATTGTCAATATTTTCAACAAGAAAGTGATCACTTAGTTTCAATATTCATACAAGATCTGTAATTGTTTGAAGGGACAAATTGTTTCATATTTCTTTAAAGTGTTTTCTTATTTATATTTTCTTTTTTTCTGATTTTTTCTCCTTTTACTTGGGATTTGTTTTATATCTGTGAAAAGCTGTTACTTGTGAAATGTTTATAACAATAAAAAAAAAAGTATAATAATCAAATAAGGGTGACACAGTGGCGCAGTAGGTAGTGCTGTCGCCTCACAGCAAGAAGGTCACTGGTTCGAGCCTCGGCTGGGTCAATTTGCATTTCTGTGTGGAGTTTGTATGTTCTCCCTGTGTTCGTGTGGGTTTCCACCGGGTGCTCCGTTTTCCCCCACTGTCCAAAGACATGCAGTACAGGTGAATTGGGTAGGCTAAATTGTGTGTAGTGTATGTGTTTGGTAATGAGTGAGCATTTGTTTCCCAGTGAGGGGTTGCAGCTGGAAGGACATCCGCTGTATAAAACATATTCTGGATAAGTTGGCGGTTCATTCCGCTGTGGTGACCCCAGATTAATAAAGGGACCTTGCTGAAAATAAAATAAATGAATGAATAATTAAATAAGATCTCGCGCTTTTCTTTTCTTGAATATTCAAGCTTATTTATTACATTATTACATAAATAATTATTTATTACATAAATTTATAAAAAAAAATATATATGTTTTCTGGAATAACTTCATTTGTAAAAAAAAAATAAAATAAAATAAAAAATATCGTTAAAGGTATTGTTAATGTGAAAAACTTCTCATACTGTGAAATCAGATTTTTGTCATACCGCCCAGCCCTACACTCCATATTACCAGAATTACACAAACGCAAAAGGTAAAATTAGTATAAGCTGAAAATTAAAAGTAAATAATAATGATAAAAGAATATATTGTATAATTATATGTAACAATGTAGCACTACATTACTCTCTCTCGCTATACACACACATACTCACACTTTACATTTTATATATATATATATATATATATATATATATATATATATATATACACATACAGTTGAAGTCAAAATTTTTAACCACCCTGTGATTTTTATTTATTTTTTATTTCCCAAAATGATGTTTAACAGAGCAAGGAATTCTTTACAGTATTTCCTATAATATTTTTTCTGCTGGAGAAAGTCCTAATTGTTTTATTTCTGCTAGAATAAAAGCAGTTTGTTAATTTTTTTGAAAAACATTTTAAGGACAATATTATTAGCCCCCTTAAGCAATATTTTTTTTTACATTTTCTACAGAACAAATCACTGTTATACAATGACTTGCCTAATTACCCTTAACTTGCCCTATTAACCTAGTCAAGCCTTTAAATAAGACTTTCAGCTGAATGCTTGTATCTTGAACAGTATGTAGTAAAATATTTACTGTCATCATGGCAAAGACATACATTAAATAATTTAACCTTTAAATATCTGGGGTATCATATAATGTGTGCTATATACACCATTTTGAGAGTGGTAAACAAAAACAATGGTCCCAATGTATTTCCTGTTTTACATTTTTAATTTCTATAGCTTCAGCGAATCCAGAAAGAGCCACATATTGATAAATAATATCATAACAGCTGCTTTAACATGAAGCTATGATTGAATTGCTTCTTGTTACAGCTATGGAATAGTTTGATAGCAAGCAGGAAATGTTCATGGGCCAATGACATCACCAGATAGAAATGGTCTATTGAGAGAGCGTAATGTAGTACTATGTCATTATATATATATGTACAATGTATTAAAACGTTTAAAATTCGTAGCAAATGCGTTTTCCACTTAACTGTTTCAGGTAAAGTTTCTTTGGTTTCTGTGTTTGTGGTCACGGTTTATGGGATCAGTCTGCTGTAGTGGACTGATTTCAACATGTGGATATGGATTTGAATGAGTTTCCTAATGCTAGCGTGCTAATCTGCGGCTCCGGGCTGCTTTGGGTGTGAGATTAGCTCTGAACCAGAGGGCTAATACTGTTATCTGTCTAACGGCTAACTGTTAACCTCTCTCTCTCTCTCTCCCTTTCTTTTCTCTTCAATGCTTGCAACGTTAGTCTCTGAGCCAATTTTACAGTCAGGTATAGTATACACAAACCGACCATAAATCCATAACTGTTTATGGTTCCCTGTTTCATAAAATCAGTGTTTATTTTGGCGCTGCTGACTCTGTGCTGTGTGTTTGTACTTCGTGTAGCCTTTTACTATGGTGTGTTGTCTTGTTTTGTATATTTCTATCCAACTTTCAAGGACAAAATTCTGTCTTTTTGTTGTCTCTCATAGTGGTTTGATTAATGTCATCAAGATCTAATATGTTCTAGATATTATCTTAGAGGATATGAAATTATCGATTGAGTTTTCATGCACATTCTTAACCCGATAATGCTTCATAAGCTGACAATACAGTAGTCATGTATTCATCTTAACCCATTTTCCTTAGTCGGAGTAAAGTAATAAGGTATAAACCGATAATCAAAGTTAGATTTTTGCCTATCACAATGATTTTATGCAAGGTAATGCATTAACCAACTTTCATATATAATAAAGTGTGTCCTTTCTGTAGGAATATATATGCAAACAAATTCCAGTCTTATGCAGTATGATTAAAAGTGGTACAATTAAAATAGTGCATAATATATGAGAAAAAAGATAATAATAGACTTTATTAGTAGTAAGTTTCACATTAACATCGCCAAAATTTCTTTAGTTTTTAATGACATTTATTTTAATGACAGTATGTTTAACATTATGGTCAACCTAAATTAAATATTCAGACTTAGAATAACAAATGATTATTTTCTCATCACTATCAGGTAAAAAGCTGGGCTGCGCATCGTAAAAGCATCCTATGTCTATGCTAAACGTAAAATTGATCGCAATACTAATCTTAATGTTACAGTCTGTTAACCAAAAGCATCCTAAGTTAAGTTGATCTACTACCAATGTCTTGTAATAATCATTGAAACCCTTTGTGCATCTTAAGAGGACTGTAGATTTCACATTTAGCTATATTTAAGTGTCTTGTAATTATTATCAAAGGCTTTGATTGTACTTTATTGTACAGTTTGCTGCTCTCTTTAAATGAATTTCTAAATAAAATAATTAAAAAATAATTTAAATAAATAAATAAAATAAGTAAATAAATAAATTATTGAAATAAATAACGTGCAAAACTGGACAACAACAACAATTAAAACTAAAAATAAAATAAGTAATGTATAAAATATGCTACAAATACTGGGAAAAATAGGGATACACTCTAAAAAATCTGTTATTGACTTGCTGGTGATTACAAAAAACTGTTTTGGCCATTTATATTTTTAAATGTTTTTTTTTAAATGTATGTTAAGTTAAAACAAACTTATGTAAAGTTGTCGTCGTTGTAATAATAATAATAACAGTAATTCCTTACATTTTATATAGCGCATTTCTGGACACTCAAATAGCTTTGCACATTGGTGTAAATTGGTGTTGGTGTTCCTCATCCACCACTAGTGTTCAGCATCCACCTGGATGATGCGACTGCAGCCATATTGTGCCAGACTGCACACCACACACCAGCTGATTGGTGGAGAAGAGACAGAGTGATGAAGCCAATTATGATATGGGAATAGTTAAGGCTGATTTATACTTCTGCGTCAAACGCCGGCGTATGCTACGGCGCTGACGCATAGCCCTTCGCCGTGGCCGTCGCCGTCACTGACGTGCACCTCTCAAAAAATGTAACTACACGTCGCAACGACGCGTAGCGTAAGCTCTGTGATTGGTCGGCTTGGTAGCGCTGACGAGTCTGGGCGGGACCGAGAGCCGCGCGAATGGCGCGAGCGATTGTTTACAAGTGTGGAGTACCGTGTAGGAGCTCCGGATGGAAAGTTTTGTTTTGTGTCTACCTCATAGTTAAAGTTGTTGCACGTCCACCGGTTCCTGCCTCAAAATAAGCGAGTTTGAGCCACTTGTACATCCCGGAAGTGTTCAGGAAAAGCAAAACAACAGCGAAGAAACTTGACACAGAGGAACCTTTACACCTCACTGCCAACTAGTGTTTCGGAAGAGTTAATGCAGACCAACAGAGACAGCGCGCAGAAGTATAAATGCACAGCCACGCGCGTTGCATGCGCCGTGGGTTACGCCGGTCACCTGACGCAGAAGTATAAATCAGGCTTTAGGAGGGCAGGATAGACAGAGTCTAGTGGGCAAATTTGGCCAGGATGCCGGGGTTAAACCCCTACTCTTTTTCGAAGGACATCCTGGGATTTTTAATGATCACAGAGAGTCAGGACCTCGGTTTAACGTCTCAACCGAAAGACTGCGCCCACTGAGCAGTATAGTGTCCCCTTCACTTCACTGGGACGTTAGGACCCACACTGCTGCCGTAAAATGCTAAGTAGCACGTATAATGTATTCTCGCACATTTATGCTATGTGCAATTTTAGGAAACACATGTAGAATTGCGTCGGGTATTCGTAGCCTTGCTAGTAGAGAACGAAATACATCATTATCGAGAAACTCAGCCCTGATTTCTTAAAAAAATTCTTCTAAACATGCCTTACTTTCAATGCTGGGTTATTGGTTTGCATGTAAACCGGGACTGGTTATTTTAACTAGCTGAATTTTATGTGTTGTCATTGTGTAGTAATGCATGTAAATGTATTTATTTTGTTGTTGGTTATTGATTAAATATTGTACTGTTTTTAGCCTCTCCAAGGGTGCTTCTAGGCATGTGTCAGAACCACTTCAAATACACTCGGCCCAAGAAGATCCGAGTGTGTGTGGGAACGTGGAACGTAAATGGAGGCAAACAGTTTCGCAGCATTGCGTTTCGTAACCATACGCTCAACGACTGGCTTCTGGATGCTCCTAAGAAAGCCGGACACCCAGAATTTCAGGGTTTGTGTTCATGCAAAGTCAATACAAATAGTGCTTTTAAGAGATGTGAGTTAGCCATTGGGTGACTCATTGACAGTGACTGCATATGTTCTAGTCTAATAGGTCTTCTTTTGTCATGCAGATGTCAAAAACAACCCTGTGGACATCTTTGCTATTGGTTTTGAGGAAATGGTGGAGCTGAATGCTGGTAATATAGTCAGCGCAAGGTAAGAACAGAAAAGATTTTAAAGTGGTTGTTTCATTTAAAAGCGCTTTTCCACCACTAAATATATATGTATATATGTATGTATATATATATATATACACACACACACACACACACACACACACATACATATACATATGTATATATATATATATATATATATATGTGTGTGTGTGTGTAAATTCATTTATATATTCATTTATAATATTTAATATCCTCTGAGAAAATTTTTGTCTTTTCTTTTCTCTCTGACAGCACCACAAACCAAAAGCTGTGGGCCGCAGAACTGCAGAAGAACATCTCCCGAGATCAACGATATGTCCTGCTGGCCTCAGAACAGCTGGTCGGTGTGTGTCTTTTCGTCTTCATTCGCCCTCAGCACGCACCCTTTATCAGGTAAATGGTTTTGATGGTTAATAAAGCATCTCTAAACGTTTTCCAGTCTTCTGTGTTCTCATATTATTAGTTGTTTTGCTCAATCAGGGATGTTGCTGTAGACACAGTGAAGACTGGAATGGGCGGAGCCACTGGTAATAAGGGAGGCGTGGCTATTCGTATGCTCTTCCACACTACCAGCATCTGCTTCGTGTGTTCGCACTTTGCTGCCGGTCAATCACAAGTCAAAGAGAGGAACGACGACTATAATGAGATTGCACGCAAACTGTCCTTCCCCATGGTAAATATTTATGATGTGAAACATGCATTACTGCTATTCGTTCTCGAACACTTACTTTTTGTAATAACATGATGTTATATTCCTCATATATTTATTGTTATATTATTATTATTTTATTTTATTGATTTTTTTTTCTTGTATAAATTATTGATTTAATAAATACAAATAAAATGTAACAAACAACACTGAATAAAACCCTAAAACAATCTTTAAAACTAAATGTACATAATAATATAACTTACCTAATAATAACCACAGAAATTATGCATTATTATTATTATAAGGATTACATTGGTTAAATAATAATGTAAATATTAATATGTAATGTATGTTATATATTATTTGCAATGTAAAAAGCAAGTACAATAAAGAATAAAATAAATATAATGATTTTTTAAATAAAAAATCGTTTAATTACATATTAATAATGCTAAAATATCATTTTAATACTAGTTTTTTTCATTATCATCAGAGTAAACAACTGTTTAGCTACATAATACATATTAATAATGTGCCAAATATATTATTTATTGTTAAAAAATGTAAATAATTGATACACCATTTATGTTTATTAGTTATATTATTAATAATATAAATAATTGAAAAGTCGTATTTATTATGCATTTATGTTAAAAAATATAGAATATTTAGTAATAATAATAATAATAATAATAATAATAATAATAGTTGTATTTATTCTTGGTGGTGGTGAAATAGTTTAAATAATAATTAATAAATAATAATAATAAAAAATAATGTGTAATATACATTATATTTATTTTTACGTAATGCAAATAATAAAAAAGTACAATAATTAAAACCAAATATATTATTTATAATTAATCATAATACTTTATCATTATCTTGCATCATAATACGTCATATGTATTTTTATATATTAAATGTAATATTGTATTGAGATTTATTGGTTAATATATAATATACACACTAAACAATAATATTATTTTAAACAATCAAATTTTAATAAATGGATCATTAAAAGATAATGTTATTTTTGTGATTATGAACATTGAAATATTAATGATAAACATGTAATATACTTGAGCATCATGGTGGCGCAGTGGTTAGCACGATGGCAAGGTCGCTGGTTGGTGGAGTTCTCCCCATGTTCACGTGGGATTTCTCCGGGTGGTCCGGTTTCCCCCAAAGTACAAAGACATGGTGAATTGAATAAGCTAAATTGGCCAAAGTGTATGAGTGTGAATAAGAGTGTATGTGTGGTTCTGACTGTTAGGTTACGGCTGGAAGGGCATACGCTGCGTAAAACCTATGCTTGATAAGTTGGCGGTTCATTCTGCTGTGGTGACTGCCGATTAATAAAGGGACTAAGCTGAAAAGAAAGTGAATGAATGAATGGAATATTCTTAATATTTGCTAGTTTAAAAGATACAATTACAACAATTATAATCACCAATTTTTTATTATTATTAAACCTCATCATTATTATTATTTATTTATTTTTGCAGGGTCGTCTTCTGTACTCTCATGATTATGTATTCTGGTGTGGAGACTTCAACTACCGAATCAATATTCCCAATGAAGAGGTGAAGGAGCTGATCAGACAGCAGAACTGGGATGCACTTATTGGTGGAGATCAACTGGTGGAGCAGAAGAATGCAGGACAGGTACCGTATATCAAACCATATAAATACTGTATATCAAAAATGCAGCAATATCGCTGGAAGTAGTGTTTTTATTTCCCCTCGCTATCCTAAATAACTTCTCTATTGTACTCCAGGTCTTCAGAGGCTTTATTGAAGGAAAGCTGGATTTTGCGCCCACTTATAAATACGACCTTTTTTCTGAGGATTACGACACTAGTGAGAAGTGCCGCACACCGGCCTGGACCGACCGTGTGCTGTGGAAAAGAAGAAAGTGGAACTTTGATAAAACTGGTAAGTATTATATTCATTTCCAACCAAATTTCAAATGCTTCTGAAAACAAGAGTTCAGTTAATAAATGATTTGAAAAAGTACAGTATAACGCATGAGGGTATCTGGACACAGAGGGCCTGTAAACAGAAATTTGCAAAGCTTGCCCCGCCTCTGAGCTCTTTTGATTGGTCCACTGCTGTGGAACTGACAGTGATGAGCTGTGCTGCTTGTAAAAAGTTGAAGTTCTTTTAACTTGACACTACATCTAAAAAAGGCAGGGCTCACGTGTGCAGAGCTTCACAAGATGCAAGCGTAATGGTCAAACCTATCTGTCAAGCATGTTTACATTGAATCACTATAGGAAAGAATTGCTTGGATCGCATTTTGTGTGACCAACCCCCAAATGGTCTTACACTGATAGGGCTTTTTTTTTTTTTTACAATTCAGTTTTTTTATTTTCCTAAATTCAGTTTTGTTTTTTTGTTCACCCTCCCCTTCCTGAATACTGCTGAATACTGAACTGCTTAGACAACCACCTAAAGGGAAAGTTCTCCTATGAAAAACTGGAACTTTTCATTTATGGGTAAACTATCCCTATAGTATTAAAATAATTAATTTTAGAAGTAGTAAATTATTACAGCTCGGCTCAGAGTTTTGTGGCTAACAGTATTTTTTTTTTTTTGGCTAAGCAGTGTAATAAGATGGATAATGTCGAATCAGCAGTTATATATGTACATTATCCCTTATTTAGCTAATGAAACCTTATTGTAAAGTGTGACCACAAATTTTAGGTGTACAGAACATCTTTTCATTTATTCCTCGAACATTTTTTTTGCCAATTTTTTTTTGCATTATACACTTAATTCAATTTTTATACCCTACACTGAAGAATAAATGGTCACTTATTGTGTGCGTGCGTGTGCGTGTGTGTGTGTTACAGCGGAGGAGTTGGAGTTGAATGTAGTAGGAGCTCCAGTGAATGAGGAAGAACAGTATCCATGGAGCCCTGGAGACCTCAAGTATTACGGCAGAGCTGAGCTGAAAACCTCTGATCACAGGTGAGAGACTGAAGCCACAACTTTCATGTTTACTGTGGAAAGCTGCTTTAACATCTAAGCTATAAACAATACTAGTATGTATTTGCATGATAATATATTATTTCTTTAGATCAGGTCTCCAACACATCGTTCCCCAACATGATTGAAATATCATATCACCACTAATCATCGGGCCATTTAGTTATTTTTAGACTACACCATTCCCTAATAACACGAGGCAGCGCTTTGACACACAAAAAATAATATTTTTTTAATTAAAAGAGTATTTGTCCTAACCCCCAACTATGGCAACACGCAAAGATCCTATTTAAGAAATAGTTGCAATTTCTGCACTGTTGCTTTTATATATATATATATATATATATATATATATATATATATATATATATATATATATATATATATACTGTATAATCTTATTGCATGCTTATCTTTGCATATGTTAATGCAGACTACAAAGAATGTATTTTAGAATAGTTTAGAATGTATTTTAGAATAGAATAGAATAACCTTTGTACAGTCTACAGTCACATTTTGCTTCCTCGTTCTTTTCTGTAGGATTTTCTATATTTAGCCTACATTGGAACAAATAAACATACACCTTTGCTAATGTGATATTGTCAAGACTACTACATAACTGAAAACCTGACAACCCAAGCTTGAAAAAGTTCACAACTACAGTTCTATATAATCAGTTTGAACGATTCAGTGACCAAGACATGTGGCTCTCTGCCACTTCAGGTTTTTAAAAAGTAGCTCGCTGAAGAAATAAGTTCAGGGAAGCCTTTAGATACTAGTGTTTAGTTAACCCAAAACTTTAAACTACCTCATCAGATCAGATTGCTGGCAATTATAAACTTCCATAGTATTGAAATGAAATATTATACTGGAAGTCAATGGGTACGAGCTACTACCGTTTTTCAAAATATCCTTTTTTTGTGTTCAAAAAAGGAAAGAAAGTCATTTTTAGGTAAAATTATTAAAAATGGAGGATGAGTAAATTATGGTAGGATTTAAATTTTTGGGTGAACTATCCCTTTATTCTAGTAGTAATAGCATAATTATTAATCGTTAATCAAATGAATACTAGTATATAATGAATAAGTATTAGTATCTAACAAATAAGTACTGATATCTAACGAATACTTTTTAGTGTGTTAAAAATGTACTAGTAAGTATATAATAAGTACTAATATAATTAATAAATATTAGTATTTAATTAATAAGTACTAGTATATTGTGAATAATTAGCAGTGTCTATTTAGTAAGTACTATTATCTAATAAGCAGAGGTATAAAGAGTACCTGAAAACCATACTTGAGTAAAAGTACAGATACTTTACTGAAAACATTACTCCATTACAAGTTACAAGTCACTAATTCCAAAAAGACTTGAGTAAAAGTAGTAAAGTATCCGATTATAAAAGGACTTTAGTACTTTACTCATACAAAATGTATGCTCGAACATCAATATTTTTATTTTAAGTAGTTTCTCAATTGATTATTGATTGATTATTGTTTTCTGTGTATTAAAGTTAAACAAAGAGGATCAGTGTTATTTTTCAACTTAGTAAACTACATATAAATTCAATAAAAAATACGTCACAAACTCACAGCTAAATGGACCTGATGCCAAATGTAAAATTTCAGTGATACATTTATTTACGTTGCACACAAAAAATTAAGCTAAAATATAGTCATGTCATGTCGCAGTGGTTTTTGCCATATTAGTAACTGTATTAACTTTTGATAACATTATGCTTACAATACCATTGTAAAGTCAGATATGATTTGACTAAATTCACATTAAATAGACTCTTACCCAAATGTGTTTTCTCAAATTTGCAGATAAATCTTAAAAAGCACTTATTTTCTTGGTTCGTGGCAAACAAAGTAGACACTGCATGCTATAAGAGCCATTCTGTATATCTGCAAATAAAAACATTTCTTTCAGTTAAGGCCACGGATGGTCATCAGTGCTAGCACTGCTTGATGTGCCGGCTTCGGCTTCATCACTGGCTGCAGCCATGTCGCTAATTAAACACCTGGCATTAGGCAAGCTGCTAATTCATGTTCACGTGATTTAGCTCATAAATAGCATACACTACCTTTAGCACCCTGCAGATGGCGATATTGCCTCGTCCGCCCAACAAATTAGCCATGGTAGATAAAGATGTCAACTTGTCGCGCACAATCACAATGTAATGAGTAATGGTAAGGGTCCGTTCAAATGTAGTGGAGTAAAGAGTACATATATTCAATCAAAAATGTAGACAAGTAGAGAGTAAAAGTTGCTTAAATTTTTAATAATCAGTACAAGTACAAAGTAGCCAAAAGCATACTTATGTAAAATAACGAAGTCCATTTACTTGAGTACTTTACAGCACTGCTAATAAGTAAATGATAGTCTCTAATAAAAAATCATTTTCCTTTTGCAAAATATACTAGTATCTAAAAACGAAGTATTGATTATAGTTAGTGCCTTCCAGTGGACCTTAGAGGTACTGCAGGAGTCTGTCAACCGCATTGCTGACCATAATAAAAGCTTGTATGTTTTGTTCGTGTGCGCCTCATGTACTTTAGGATTAGGAACTGCTGTTGTAGTGGCATTAACATTGATCTCTTACAGACCTGTGGTGGCCATCATAGATGTGGACATACTTGAGGTGGATCCCGAGGCTCGTCATCAGGTGTATAAGGAAGTGATCGCCCTGCAGGGTCCTCCCGACGGCACCATCCTAGTCTCTCTCTGCTCTTCTGGTCCCGATGACTACTTTGATGATGCTTTAATTGACGATCTTTTGGACAAGTTTGCTAATTTTGGCGAGGTTATTCTTATCAGGTATGAGATATTTTGTTTATATAATATTATTATATTGCATGTCTATATAGCCAGGTTAAGTCCAACATGAATATGATCAAAGTGAATTGCAATTCAATTTTTTACCATACATTAGAATGCAGAATTAATGAGCATTTGAAATCATTCTTATATGTTGATTTGCAGCTTTAAAATATTCTATTATTATTATTATTATTATTATTAATATTATGAAAACAGCTGAGTAGCTTTTTTGATGAATAAGAAATGTAGAATCGCATTTTTCTGAAATGTAATTAGAATCTGTAGTGACATTATAGATATTTTTATTGTCATGTTTGATCATTTTAAAGCATCCTTGCTAAAAAAAAAAAAAAAAAAAATTGTGAGAATATGTATAATTTATTTACCAGAAACTAAAGATACTGACTTTTGAATCGGTATGGTGCATTAAAAAATCCTGGGAAAAGTACTATTAATAAATATTATTGTAAATAAAAATAATGATAATTATTCAATGTTTGAATGATAAATCAGCATATTATAGTGATCTGCTTGAGGTCATTTGCCAATCCTTCCCCTCTCTCTGCCCCCAATGATTTCCTGTCAATTCCCTGTACTATTCTATCCATTAAAAGGTTAAAAACCCATATATTTTTATTAAAACTTATATATTAAACTATATATATATTAAAATAGAAAACAGATTATTTTAAATAGTACTTTGGATCAAGTACATAAAAGTAAAAGAGGCTTAAAAAACATTTTAAAAATCTTATTTATCTAAAACAGTTACTTTTGTACTTTTTCATTTAAAATATAACAACATTTCTTATGATCTTTTTTCTCTACATTTTAATCTAATAAAATCATCATAAAATGATGACCAAACATGATTCCATTCATTTATTTGTAACTTTTTAACAAAAGTTGAATTTGATACACTGAAACAGAAACAGTAGTACATTTTTAAACAAAAGTCTATTTTAATTTGATGCAGAAAATTAAGTGGATGTCTCATCTTTGACCCTTACATAAGGCTTACTTACAGTATGCTATCCGAACCGTGCCCGGCAGCGTTTCCCGGTTTGTTTGACAAGTGTGGACTGTTTCATATGTATTCAAGCATTCTTACTTTTCAATGAACACCAATTGTCGTAGTTTGTTAAAGACGCAAACCCCTCGCTGCACCTTCAGCAAACCTCCTAATACGTGCAGCAGGTTGTGGATCTGTTCAGCTGAATATTCGACTGTGTGTCACTGCATCCTAAATGACTAAAAATAATACAAAACAATATAACTAAAGCAGTCTCCAATGCGCTAAGCGAGAGCACTTCTCTTCCTGTTAAACTGAACTGTCGCATCATCAATTACTTAACCATGCTCAGGTTTGGAAGGTAAAAATGCAATGTGAGCGCAGGCTGTCAGGAAGAGGGGAGGGGCAAAACCACATTTTTTTTTTGGCTGGTTTCCACTGACTGGTACGGTACGGGTCACCTTTACCAGACTTGCGTTTCCACTGCTAAAAGGATACCAATGGTACTCTTTTGGTAAACGACAGAAAGTTTCAGTCAACATCATTTTTGCTTGAGAAATAGTCTACAGTAAAGCTGTACGGGTCGTTCACATATCATATTAGAAGCACTTCACAAAACAGATGCTTAATACACATAAATACTTCTGTATAAATGTTCATTACTAACTTTTCTATGAACATGAGTTGATTATAACTGCAGATCAATAAATGAGAGAATAATTCCATCATTCCGAGTTCATAATAGTCCAAAAAGTGATGATAATAATAGTTAAACATGGGAGTTTGTTCATGTTTGCTGAAAAAAAAATTTCTGGCTTTTCCTGAGTTTTTTCATGTGTCACTCTCGCGTGTGTTTGTTTCTGACAGGATCGGTTTTCAAAAGCACGTCAATAATCAAGTGCACGTTATTATCATGAACTCAAGAAGTTTGTTATTTCAAAAATAGACATGCGGCGAGTGCAAGCAAGAAAGCGAAACTGCTCGCTCTTCAGACTGGCTTGTAAAAAACTACGGGGCACAGGGTAAATCTGCTCTTCTTTTCGGCTTTGTGGCTGTTCATCAAGACGATGACAAGTTTTGTTTGAGCCCGGGTCGACCATGTCTCGTTATTATATGTATGTATAATTACGCTGTAATCTCTCGGCTGTGTATTTATAACATGTCGGTCTCTTTGTTTTCATTCTGGCTTGTTGCGTGAACGAATGACGTATCTCTGTAAACTAATAGCATTCAGCTGTACGTCTAGATCCGCCTTTTGGTACCCTCTCTAATGTTTGGCACCCTTTCGAAAGGGTGCCGAAAAAGTGGTATGGTACGGTTTGGTTTGGTACGCCTTTTGACAGTGGAAACGGCCATAAAAGTGTGCAAAACCGAACTGTATTACTTAGTGGAAACGGTCTATTATGCACAGTTCAAGGCAACCATGCCTAGTGAGAGTACACCCATACACATTTATTAAAAAAAAAATTTTAAAAATAAATGTAATAGTTTAATAATAATAAAATAATCTTTTTATTTCCTGCTGAACAGGTTTGTTGAAGAGAAAATGTGGGTGACATTTTTGGAGGGATACTCAGCTCTGGCCGCTCTGTCTTTGAGTGGGTCTACTGTAAGAGACATCCATACGATACATCTGACACATTTCCAAAAATCGCACTGTATCATAAAACTGACTTCTAATGTGCCTCTCAGGTGAATGGAAAGACCATAGACATCCGCCTGAGGAGTCCTGGATGGATAAAGAGTCTTGAGGAGGAAATGAGTGTGGAGAGAATCTGTGGAAGTATTCCAACATCCACCAGCTCCACCCTGCTGGCAGAAAACTCTGACCTAGGAGAAGAGTATGACATGGAAGGTACAGTATGGGCTCTGCAGTACTGAAATGCAAAATAAAGATGTAAATGGAGTTATTTAGATTGCGGATATGGCTTTGACAGGTGATGTGGACGAGGAGGTTGAGGATATTTTACCCCAGCACCTGCAGCCTGGAGCAGGCATGGATCTGAGTGCGTCTCCTGCCACATCTCCACGCACCAGCCCATGCCCTTCACCCACTCACGGAGAGCCAGCACCACCCATCCGGCCCAGCAGAGCGCCACCACGCACAGCCGGACCACCACAGGGTAGTGTAGTATTTGTATTTGACTCAACATGGGTGAACACTATGTGAATCTCTGTCTGTCTGTCTGTCTGTCCAGTTTTTAGTTAGTTCATCTATCCACCTATTCATCAATCCATTCATCTTTCCTTCCATCTGTCTGTCCAGTTTTTAGTTACTCCATCAATCCGCCCGTCTATCCATCCATCCTTCTATCTGTCTGTCCATCCATCTGTTAATCCATCCATTCGTCTGTCTATCTTTTTGTCTGTCCAGTTATTAGTTACTCTATCCATCTGCCTGTCTATCCATCCATCCGTCTATCTCTCCGTCTGTTTAACCGTCTGTCTAGTTTTTAGTTAGTCCATCAGTCTGTCTGTCTATCCATCCGTCTATCCATCTGCCTATTCATCTGTCCGTCCGTCTGTCTATCTAGCTATCTTTCTGTCTCTGTCCAGTTTTTAGTTACTCCATCCATCCATCAATCTACCATCTATCTGTCTGTCTTTGTCTGTCAGTCCAGTTTTTAGTTACTCTATCTATCCATCAATTGACCATCCCATCTATTTGTCTGTCTCTGTCTGCCTGTCCAGTTTTTAGTTAGTCCATCCATTCGTCTGTCTGTCCATCTTTCCATCAATCCATCTGTTCATATGTCTATCTGTCAATCTTTAAGTCTGTCTGTCCAGTTTTTAGTTACTCCATCCGTCTGTCCATCCATCATGTCCAGTTATCAGTTACTCTCTGTCTGTCTGTCTGTCTGTCTTTCCTTTTTTTATGTACTCCGTCCATCCGTCTGTCTATCCGTTTGTATGTCTGTCTTTCCAGTATATAGTCTTGTCTGTCTATCTCTCTGTCTGTCTGTCTGACCTGTTTTTAAAAACTCTATCCATCCATCTGTTACCTTTCCACCTATCTATCAATCCATACATACATTACCTACAGTATCTATCTGTCTCTCTGTCCACCCATCCGTTCATCCATCAATTCATCCATCCATCTATTGATCTAGGAAATAAGAGATCAAATACTATGCTATAATTAAATGTCCATTCATACCAGTGTAGTAGATTTACATAGAAGGTGTACATATTGTTCATTTATTATTCATTGTTTATTGTTCATTTAACTCTGCAACATATTGTACAGAAACTCCAGTACATTGTTTTTCCTTTGTTTTTACATTGCAAAAAGGAGGATTAAGCCCAGCATCCATTAGAAGGGAACTGGCAGGTAAAGAGTGCTGTTTGCTGATGTGCCTCAGTAGTTCCCGATCTCTCAGAGTGTGTTTGTATGTCTGTGCGTCCCCAGGCTTCAGTGTGGTTTGCAGTGCTGTGGAGCTGAACTAAACAAGTCCCTCAGACATTTGTTTTGACGCTTGTGAGAATCTGACGTTCCTCTCTCTCTTGTTCTCTATGCACAGGTTCTCCAGTTGATGGTCAGCCAGCAGGAGCTCCATTCTCACAGGGACTAGAGCCAAAACGTCCCCCTCCGCCTCGCCCTAATGCCCCGCCAGCCCGACCTGCACCTCCACAGCGCCCACCACCACCCTCAGGTACAGGCACGATGTTTGGTCCTAAGAGAAGCGTTAAGATTCAGTCAAGAAGTTTATTCTGGGACTAAAACAGCATTTAAATGAGTGCACAACATTTAATGCTATGGGCCAGATTTACTGAACAGGTTAAATTGGCATCCAAGCGCAATTTCATAAAAGCCCCCTCAGAGGTGCAAGTTCTGCATGTGTTTCTACTGACAAAATGCATCAAAGAAGCTCATTTTCATGTTCGTCAATGCAATATACCAAGACCAGTGCAAGTTAGCAATCAAGTGTGTGTAGCCTGCAAACAACACAGGAGTAAATTAGTTAAGGCATGACAAAAATAGTGTTAAAGTTTACAAACACAAATCTTGGTAAATCATGGTGCATGATATGGCTGTCCAAATAAAATTTAATCTTGATTTTTTTTTTAATTGTATTTTATTTAAGAACAGTTGTTTGATAGATTATGCACTTTAAATAGTGTCGTTTCAATAATGACCTTGCGCCCTCTTGTGGTCATAGCAGAGAATGGACCCTTTTCACATGCTTGTTATGACGCATTTATAGATCATCATAACCTTAAATCCTTTAAAGTTTTTAATATTTTATTTGTTTAAAAACATATAAACATTTATATGCGTTTATGTATGTATTATATCATCTTTGCGTCTAATTACAAAAAACGAATTAACAATTATGTGAGGTGTTTCTAATGCAGCGTTTATGGGAAGAACAGTAAATTTATCGTTATTCTCTCCTCTGGCTGCCGTCCTCAGTCTCACAGTATTTTCCTCTTTTTCTGAAAGTCTTGATAGCACCATCGTGGAGTTTTTCTGTTATTATTTCAGCAAATTGGATTGTAAAAAAATATTTGTTGCATTCTCCCATTCACTGCGCTCTAAGTTTACCCAGCTATAGCGATTTCCGCTACTGAGAAACACGGAAATGTGAAAAGGGTCTATTCACTATTTTAACTGTAACATTAAAGGCATAGTTCACCCAAAAATGAAATTCTTTCATCATTTACTTACTGTTTACTTTGAAGATATTTTGAAGAAAGCTGAAAAGCTGTAACCATTGACTTCCATATCTGTTTGTCCTACTATGAAAGTCAGTGGTTACAGGTTTACTGCTTTATTCAAAATATCTTCTTAAGTGTTCAAGAGAAGAAAGAAACTTATAAAGGTTTAGAAACACTTAAAGGTAAATAATTAATAGAATTTTCATTTTTGGCTGAACTATCCCTTTAAATATTGCCTTCAGAATTCAAATTTAGCCATGTTGACGGCCCAAGTGCATGAATCATTTTACTAAATTCTTTCCTTCCACAAATCTGTTATGGAAACCCCTACAAATGCATTTGCAGAATGGTCAGACCCATTTCTAATGCTTTTATTTAAGACATTATGTCTGTAGGGTTTAAACTGGCACAGGCTGTTAGTAAATCTGGCTCTTTGTTTTCAGTTGTTTTGTTTTTGTGATTTTAATTTGCATTTCATCTTTCATTTTACAATATCCTGCTATTCTAAAGGTGGCAGAAGTCCCACACCTGTTAGAAAAGATTCAGCAGGTAATGCTGTGCTTAAACATGAGCATTGTGTAGTAGCAGCTGAATATTGCCTCAGTATTGCTGTTTATTGACTTGTTTGTGAATTGCTTCGTTACACCTGATGTAGGGCTGGGCGACATTTCTGCTTTCATCAATTGATTTCTATTAAATGTTTGGCTAAATTTCAGTTATTTTAATTAAGCATTAAGTATAGAATAATTTCAACTTGTTCTTTTTTTGCCACAATTTTTTTCTAGTTTTTTTCCGCGTTGAAATACAGCCTTATGCAATCATAGAAACTTCTTTACAACCAAAACATTGCTACATTTACTAAATATACAAGTTAATAAATATACAAGTTGTTGATATATAAAAACAAAACAAAAACAAAAAATAATGCTCCTCGTGTTTTGGTTAATGGTCATCTATTCAAAAGTGACTTTTATCATACTGAATACAAAGTACTACAAACATGTTTTGAAGAGTTGATCAATACAGAACTGCAAGATGGGAACTGCATTGGTTTACAAGTTTTAAATCAATACAATGTTTTTCAAAAGTAAAGTTGACTACTTTAATTTAAAACCAAAAAAATAAGGCAAGGCCAACTCATTTATATAGCACATTTCATACACATTGGTAATTCAAAGTGCTTTACATAAACAAGAATAAAAATAGAAACAACAAAGAGTTAGAATTATTAAAAACATATAAAATGTGTTAAAACAGGTTTTACATGAATAAAAAAGACAAGAAAGACATAATATTGCGATCTGTTGGACGTAGCACAGTGCTCATTCAGTAAAGGCACAGCTAAACAGATGTGTTTTCAGTCTTGATTTAAATGTGCCTAATGTTGGAGCACATCTGATTATTTCTGGAAGCTGATTCCAGCAGCGGGGGGTGTAGTAGCTGAAAGCCGTTTCACCCTGCTTTAACTCTTGGAATTTACTTGATCCTAATGATCTAGGTGATCTGCTAGGTTTGTATTAAAATAAGTGCAACAGTCTGAATTATTATTATTATTATTATTTATTTATTTATTTATTTTTTTGGCATCTCGCCCAGCCCTATCCTGATGTTAGGTTGCTTTAGATGAGGATGTGTAAAGTGTCTGGCTTACTTTTTCTCAATTAATGCACAATGTTGCAGCTCTGTGCTTTTTTAGTTGTGTGTCTTCATGCTTTTCATCAGCCTAATCATCAGTGTCTTCTTGTGGTTTCTATAAAATCAAGTATTGTAAATGTTTTTGCAGCTGTGTGTGATTTGTTTTGTGCTTTGGAAACATTATGAATGTGTTCTTTCAAAGGCTTCGCTGAGCCTCTCAATCTAGAGTTTGATCTGACTGATAATGAAGGTAATATCTGGTTGAGAGAAAAAAAAATAGATTCTAGTATGTCTTTGCTGTGATTGGTTTTTGTGTATGTTTGTCTTCCGGTCAGTTGAGTCCTCCTGCACTTGCTAACAGAATTAGACTCATTATTCATAACTAATGATTCAAATCAACAGCTTTGTCACGATGCAGTGCATGAAGTCTCAATTGTTGCAGTAATTTTGATTTAGTTTTGGAGTGTGAAGTGGAACTAGCTGAATTAGTGTTGGTAAATGAATAGAGAATGGCAGAAATGGATTTTCCATCAGGTAAGGAGTGGGTTTGATCAAATATATTTTCTCCGGGAAAAAAAAGGCTTTAATAATTTGCAGAATTACAAGTAATTTAAAAAAAGATTTTGATTTTTTTCTTTTCTTCATGCTAACAAAAGGACAAAAAAGCCCTGCGTTAGCACGAGCAGATGCAGCTGGTGAGTTTCTACACTAAGTAACACCATTGCTCAGTTACAGATGGTTGGACAAACATATTTGGGCCAATATATTGTAACCCCACGCGAGTTTTAGCTCAGATTATTAGGCGAGAAAAGTTATGCCGAGTTCAAACTGCATTATTTTAGCCGTGATTTTTACTCACCGACAGGTTTGGAGAAATCGTCAGGCTAATCGGCTAATCGTAACAGTCACACATTTTGAACAATCAAGGACGCAATATTAGAGAATTGCAGATGAGTTTGGCATGCTAAATATCTGGAGCTGTCAGCGATTCAAATCATGTTGTGTGAAATATGTTCTGATTGAAAATAACATTGGCGATTACCTACAGCCAATGAGAGAGCAGCATCCACTAGTAAGGGTATCTGCAGGCTAGAGGGAGGTTGAGGGAGAAGTTAAAAGCGCTCATTTTCAGTTTTCATTGTCGATGCTATCCTCCATCGCCGATGGCCAGAAGACAACACTTGTAAAACTGTGTTTTACCTAGCATTTCTGAACAGCCCTCCGTTCGCTGAAAAAGCACATCATGTGGCCACACACACACACACAAACACTGTCATGTGCTCGTCTGACCTCCAGAGAGCAGTGCACGTCGGATAGTTTATCAAGGATCGCGTCTCACTATAGTTGTTAAAGTGATATTTAATTCATCTTGTCTCTTTATAACGATTCTTCTGTCTTTTAAATCTATCAGGTAACGTGTCACAGCATCAGTACACTGCTTCAATCTTTCACTTTTACACTTGTACTTAGTAATTTTAGTGAAAACCTCAGATACTGTTGGTTGGGCACCTTTTTTTACGGACCAACCTGTGATTGACAGGTGGTAATTTGTGTGCAACTTATCTTTATTTATTTATGATTTGTTTATGGTTAAAGACCATGGGGGTCAGGTAGTTGAAACGGTAGGCTACAAATTATTAATTTGTTATGAATTAATTTATTATTCATAAATTATTAATTCACCTCCGCCTATGACAACAATGTCATCGTCCATCGCGATGTTTCACATTAGACATCGTACGATGCCAGATTGGACGACATCTCCCAACACTAGTAAACAACATTACTACATTTTCTAAAGCTAAAGCCATCCTTTTCCATTATGTAGTTTAAAAAAAAAAGTCCTGCAGTGTAAAATCTTCATCATACATCATAAGATCCATCATACAGTGTAAACAAAACACAGACAGAACGTCAGCCCAGATAGACAGTGTGAAAACATCCGTGACATGACTACTTTAAAAATCGTGCAGTCTGAACTCGGCATATGTTGTCACTCCTCACAGAAGCACTAATCTGACATTTTTCAGGCTTCCTTTAATTGTCTGTTTAAGTCAGGGTGTAAAAAAGTTTTAAATTCTTAAAGTATGATAGTAAGGCCTTAATTAGTCTTAAAATGTCTCAAATCTGCGTTTTAATGATCTTAAAAATGCAATCGAACCGACCCGGTAAGGAAGATTCTCTTTCCATTTTGAAACCTACTTTAATCTATTCGTCTATCATCACTAAGAACAACAAAGGTGGAACCAAATCTATTTATAGTCATTGGCAGAGCCCAACATGTACATTAACAAATGAAGAACTAGAGATGCACCAATCGACCAGCCAAGGACCAGAATCTGCTGAAATGTATCTATAAAACAATAATAAAAAGCACATATAAATTATTGTTATATTTATTTTTAAAAATAGTTGACAGGTATCGATATTGAAAAATTCTGTTTTGTTAGTGTTGTTAATGCAGTTTGGTGGAATTGATGCAATGTTTTTTTATTATTACTATTACTATCATTATTATTTTATTAATAATATTCATGATGTTTTGAGGTTTTTCACATTTTATAAGTATAATTAACAGTATTAATGATGGTCGTTATTTATTTATTATTTTTTTTGCAAATTCTGTACTATAAAATTGCTCTTAAATATAACTTTTAGAAACCTGCACATACCCTAATATTGTGTTGTGGAAATTCTTCTGGCATTTTTCAGGTTTTTTATTTAGTATTTGATCATATTTTGATAATTGTAATGTTTGATTATGTTATCAACTGTTTTTCAGGTCGAGGTCAAGCCACCGGACCAGCTCCTGGAGGCATCCCAAGGCCGGTGGGTTTGATAAATGCGAGTAAATCAATTAGAATACTACAAGAAGTATGTTAAAATCTAGTTTTTGGCTTTAGATTCCACCCCGAGCAGGAGTCATCAGCGTCACGCCTCAGGCCAGACCTCCTCCTCCTGCTCATCCCGGGGCCCCCAGACCCACAGCAGAGGTGCATCCTGGAGCCCCTCGACCCTCACCAGATAATCATCCCGGAGCTCCAAGACCCACTGCTGAACCCCAAAGCAAACCGTCTGAGCTGCCTCTGGGTATGTTAAACACTTCTGATTGGCTATTAACTTTTTACAAATTTCTAAAAATGATTTATTTCTTTGTTATTGATAATGTTCTATTTTTACTCTATTAATGTATATGTATTTTTTATTAATTATAATATTTAAATCTCACCGTGCGTTCACGCTAAAAACAGCAAGAGCGTCAAAGTAGTCGGAAGTCATTCATTTTTAATGAGAGCCAGCGTTGAAAAATGTCAAGCAGAGGCCTGGCGCATGTTTGCTGGTGTGGGCGTAGAGGAGAGTTGAAATCAAGTCACCTTTATGTTAATGATTGATGACGCAGTTCGGCTCCGACCACAGTTGTTGCCAAAGGTTTGATTATTGCTGTCGCTGGATTTCCAATTATTTACAAAGTTTTCTTACAGGGACATTACTGGCGAATTACTGATGTACATTGTTTTTTTTTCTCTTTAAAAAAGTGTGAATCTCATTCTAACTATAACGACAATACAAACCTGTATTGCTGCTTCAGAATGTTTCAGACATGGACCCATACTGAATAAAACCACACCACACACAACAACATTTTTACACTAGAAAGCATGTGTTTATGAAGGGTAGGGAATGTAAATGATTCGCTGTAACGGCCCCTTTAAATACGCGATCAATGTAGCGAAGTTTGACGCTCTCGCCGGCGGAGCAGTAAAGCTAGACAATGTTGTTGACAGGGTTGTCCAGAGCAAACTTTGATGCTCTTTCCATCTTTGGTGTGAACGCAGTCACAATGCATTCCGATTTTAAATACCATTGCCACATCCTCAGGCTGTTCAGACCCATAGAATAAGATTGTAAGAAAAAATATAAATATAATATTTTTTTAATACGTAATATTTTTCAGGTAAAACCAATATGTTCTAGGATTTTGCATATTATTATGTACAGTATAATCACATTTATTTTCAACAATACAACAGAAATATCACTCTATTTTAAATGTAAAACTTTCGGGTACAGTGAAAATGTGTTCATCAACTAAATAGATTTCCAAAAGTCTGTAAGATATGAAGTAAAGCTAAATATATATTAGAAGTTTTTAGATCCTGGCACATTACAAACATATTCCTGATACATCATGTACTCCAAAAGTGAAATGTGTCAAATTTACTAACAAATGGTTATATCTTTTTAAAATTATTTAATTTAAATTATTAAAACAATTGCACATTTCTTGTCCAGGTATTTCATTTCAAGGGTTAAAACTTGCGTACATAGAAATATATTTCATTTTTCATTTCCTCAGGTCCACCCCCGACACTGCCAGGTCCCGTAAGGCCTCAGATGACATCACCCATGCAGCCTCAGTCTGTGTCGCCCGTTCAGCCTCCAGTCCAACCCCAACTGCCCCCACCCATACAATCCCAGCTCCCTCCACCAATGCAGCCCACCTTACCTGCTCCTCTGATGCCTCAGCAGGCCCCTCAGACATCAGCCGGAGCCGCTGCCACCCCTCAGCCTGGACTGGCATCTCCAAAACCTCCACCCCGCAGCCGTTCCTCTCATGCACTGCCACCTGAATCTGCTCCAGCTCCAACAACACAGGTTAGTGCTCTTTTTCTGCGTACATCTGCATTAAAGTCAAGATCACAAGCCCTTACATTTTTAAAGGTGACATATTACTCCCCTTTTTACAAGATAAAATAAGTGTCCCCAGTGTGTATGTGCAGTCATATTTTAAAATACGCCACAGATCATTTTTTATAGGTTGTTGAAATTTTTGTTGTTGTTGTTGTTGTTTTTGTGATGTAAACATTAAATCTGAAATCGCTTGTTCTGAGAAACTGTTTATGATTTTTTTGGGATTATACAAATGTGTTAAAACCTTATAAAAGTATAGGTCCGCTTTAAAAAGGGATAGTTCACCCAAAATGTCAATTTTGTCATCATTTACCTATATGTTGCTTGTTGTTTTTGAACTCAAATAAGGACTAAATGTATGTTGTGTGTAGTTTTACTATAAGTGGCTGTATGTGTTCATATATGCTGCATTTATTTCTTATATATATATATATATATATATATATATATATATATATATATATATATATATATATATATATATATATATATATATAAAATTGCAGACCTTACAGTAGGCTATACAGTAGGCTACGGCCCAATATCAATTCTATTTTTGTACCTCTACCCCTTCCCCTTGGCCCTTACAACCAAGGGTTAAGCGAAAGGACTTCAAAATTTACCCCTAAGAATTGGGACAGCACTACAGCACCTGCACACGTCATCATGTCATCGCCATCTCTTGCTTCATATGAGATCAGACGAACGCGACTGCTGTAGTGATTCCAGTTGTGGTATTTTTGGTATTTATCTTCAGGAAATCACTGAAGGAATATATTGTGTTATCATAACGATCTAATGTGGCAATAAGATCGTAATACTGTGCATTTAACACAGTGGCCATATTTATCAATGTAAACACACCAAAAACAACATTAACATTACAGCAGACACTGTAAAAAGCCCATTGACAGCCTCTCATCGAGAGTGTCAGAATGTTGTGGGACTGCAGTACAGAAGTTATTTTTAGGGATTATAGATCGCGAAATTTAGCGTTTTTTTTTTTAAGCATGATGGTAAAACATGAATGCGGTTATAAATATATGAAAACATGTTTGTCTGTTGTAAAAATTCGTAATAATGACAAAAAATGCTATTTTGTGGATCTCTTTACTTCCGGGTGCAGCTGTGGCGAGTGTATTCTGGGAATTTATTCTTTCCCTTCGGTTTCAAGTGTGGTCCTGAAAAATCTTTGTTTGAGAGGTGTATACCCCTTGCCCTACGCCTTCAAGCTAAAGAGAACTGGGACACCACTACCCCTTCACGGGCACGCGCAAAACGAGGGTGTAGGGGTAAGAGGGGGCTAAGGGGTAGAATTAGGATTGGGCCTGAGTCATTGATCTGCAGTTATATTCAAATTATGTTCACAGAAATGTTAGTATTTATTATTTTATTTATGTGTATAAAGCATCTGTTTTGTGAGAAGTGCTTCTCATATGATATGTAAACAACCCGTACAGCTTTGCTTTGAGCGAGATTTCCTCATGCGAGAATAACGTCAACTAAAACTTTCTGTCGTACACCACGGCCACCTTTGGTACTCTTTTGGCAGTGGAAACGCAAGCCTGATATAGGTTACCCGTACCGACCCATACCGTACCAGTCAGTGCAAATGGGGCATAATGTGGATGTCAGTGGAACATTCTTCAAAATATCTTGTTTCGTGTTCAACAGAAGACAGAAAAGTCTAGAAAGAAACACTTGAGTGTGAGTAAATGGTGAGAAATGTTTGGGTGAACTCTCTCTCTTCAAGTGTAACAAAGTCAGCTCTCATTTTAAGAAGCAGGTACTCACAAGATGCCATCCTGGGATCGTTGGCCAGCTTTAGTGGCCTCTATTCCTCTTTCTTTTATACTTTACTGGATAATGTGGACTGTCTCCAGGTAGTTCTCATAGTCATGTTTGGCTCTTCTTGATGCATGTGTGTCTCTCTCTTTCACTAGCAGGAGCAATCCTCAGGTTAACAGGTACTGGATTAAGTCATTTCTAGTCTTTACGTTGTCTTCACGGCACCATAGCCTGTAGTCACGATGTATGAGTTGCTCATACATATAGGATCCTACATGTTATAGTTGTTTTTTTCCTCGTCCCATCTTTAATTTGACCTTTTTTCTTTGTTTATTTTAAATATCAGAAATTTTTACATGTAAAACTTAACTTGAACCCCTTGATATTTTCGTTGCTTGGAGAATATTGTGGTGGTTCTGACAGGGGGTTCAAGGAAAGTGTCATCCAGTATTTGTCATGGGTATTTGTTTTAAATTCTAGTATGTTATCATTGTTTTCAGTGTTTCTTGGCTGGGGGAAAGTCATTCGATCTGCAAAAATGCTTTACTTTGGTTCTCCGTACACTAATCATCTTTGTGTTTTTGATGTTTTATAGTTCTGTTTTCATTGTTTTTGAATTAACCGTTTAGTAAACAGGATTTTCAGTGATTTGATTTATATTAAGGTTTGTCATTGCACCATTTATGTTTTAACCAATTTGTCATTGTGATTTTATTTTTTCCTCAACTCGTGACATTATTGTTTCAAATTAAGTCAACATGAAATACTTTCAACTGCTTTTTTATTGGAAACAGGGTGACTAAATGTGCATTCAGCACATTCATTTACTATGCGCTGATTTGGTCAATTATCTAAATAGTTAAAATCTGCAGAAAATGTGTAATTATATTACTACTTGAGGAATAAATGATTTAATGCTAATTGGTGTTATATGATTTAATTTTACAGTTTTAAAATCGGAAAATAATATAATCTAAATACAGTGGTCCCTCAGAGTTCATTCATTCATTCATTTTCTTGTCGGCTTAGTCCCTTTATTAATCTGGGGTCGCACAGTGAAATGAACCGCCAACTTATCCAGCAAGTTTTTTACACAGCGAATGCCCTTCCAGCCGCAACCCATCTCTGGGAAACATGCACATACACTCATTCACAGACACACTCATACACTAAGGACAATTTAGCCTACCCAATAAACCTGTACCGCATGTCTTTTGACTGTGGGGGAAACCGGAGCACCTGGAGGAAAGCCACGCGAACATAGGGAGAACATGCAAACTCCACACAGAAACACCAACTGAGCCGAGGTTCGAATCTGCGACCCAGCTACTTTCTTGCTGTGAGGCGAACGTGCTACCCACTGCGCCACTGCGTCGCCTGCTCCCTCAGAGTTATGTTTTAAAAATAACCCGCAATAGGTGAAATCCGCGAAGTAGTCAGCTTTATTTTTACAATTATTATAGATGTTTGAAGGCTGTACAACCCCTCACTACACACTTTATACACTTTTCTCAGACAGGCATTTACATTTTCACACTTTTTTTATCTTGTTTAAATGCTCTCAAAGACTTCGGACACTGAATGCACCACACACATGACAGTTGGAAGTAACACACACTGGACATGTAGATTCGCGTGTTATTTAAAATAAAATTAAACAGATGTCGCTCTGTGGCGCGTAGGCGTGGGATGATAACCGTTTTCAAGGTATACCGCGGTTTGGAAAAGTCAAGGTTTAAAAGCACCAAAGTTTTCAGCTATACCGTTTCTACGGTATATGTACAATTTTTTATTAAGACAACAGTATCTCTAGCAGAAAAGGTATCCAAAGATGCTGCTTTTAATTAAGAATTTTAGATACTAATGAAGACAGCAGACGCCAATGATTTATTTTAATGAATTAATCTGACATGTTTACTACTCCAAAATATTTTAAATGTTTCTCGAAATAAAATATATTGTGTTCAAAAGGGAAAAAGTAGTTGTTTTTTTACCCAGACAATTAAAACATATATTTTAGAGAGGTAATCACAATACCGTGAAACTGTGATCTTTTTTTATTTAAGGTGATTATACAATCAGAATCTTAGAAATATGAACAGTGTCTTGAGTCGTAGCTGCTGGGCACCACAGACAGCCACCGACTTGTGGCACCAGTTTGCCTACCCTAATAAAACCTGTTTTGATGGCCCTGCCTGGGGGTGAGCGACTCCCTTTATGATGATCTTTCTGCGGACAGTTACAACCCTTTTTGCATCCTTGTTGAAACTCACACTGCTAGCGATCAAAGATTTATGTTAATTTGGCAAGCTGAATGCATTCTTTACTGTACATGAGAAATGTAAAAAAAAAATCTGCGAGGCTGCGAAAGGTGAACCACGTTATAGCGAGGGACCACTGGAATCGAAAATGACTCCGAAGATACAGTACTTACTGTCTATTTTACTGTTCCTGTTTAAATATCACTCAAACCAAGGTTTGTCCAATATTTGAAGTGCTTATTAGGGTTAAATTAGCATTTTTTAAGTAAAAAAAATTATAATTTTATGTCAAACCATGATGCTTGGCAAGTCATAAAATGCAAGTCAATGGCTACCAGCCATTGGCTACTATGAAGAAAAAAAAATTATACCTTTGTTTAGCTTCTTGCACCAATCATTTGATATCATAGGACCCCAATGTTTCATCAGAAGCCACAGGTGTTCATTTTGTTTTGGCTGTATTAGTTTTTTGACTCTCAAAGCACCAGTAGTCATTGACTTGTAATTTCTGAACAACCAAGGACCACAGTTTCAGCTAAAAAAAACTTCTTTAATCTTCTAATGATGAAAAGACGTCATCTGAAATGTTGTGAGGGTGAGAAAATCAATTTGAAAAAATGTAGTTGAACAATCCTTCTAAGGAAAATTCCAAACATCCAACTGATTGTTCCCAATATTTTTAATAAATTCAGATCTGACTTCATGTTGACTCCACTATTTATTTAGTGTTATAGCTTCTTGTCACCAGTATGATTTCATAATGTAGTCCATGTGTGTCGTCTTTTCCCAGGCCAAGAACATGAATGGAGTCCAAAGAGAAGCACAATGGAACCTAGACCCCTTCGACATGCTTAACCCTCAATCCCTCTTCCAGAACACACCATTCACCGCTTCCCTCCCTCGCTCCTCATCCTCCTCTACATCCACTCCATCCCCTTCTTCCTCATCCTCAACATTACCCAGCAACCTTTCCCTGTTCTCAGCTCCGGACACCAGCAGCGCTTCGTGTCTCCTCGCTCCCCCCGCCCCATCCCGCAGCAAATCCCAAGAGACCCTCCGTTGCTCCCCTAATCCATTCCTCACAGACATCCAACCAAGACCCAACAGCACCAACCCCTTCACCAGCGGGCTGCAGTCCTCCCCGCGCCGATCGCTTACACCTGATTTCTACACCCAAATGCAAGCCTCTAAACCTGATTTCAATAGAGCTATGTCTGCTGTAGGCCACAGTTCCACCCTTCCTCCAACCTTCTCCCGACAACAGTCCTTAGTTACTGCTACAGCTCCAGCCCCCAACAAACAAACGCAAAAGTGGGTCACCTTTGATGATGATTTGGATTTCCTTTCAAAAAGGGTTGGGACCGGCCCATTAGCTTCACCTCTTCCTTTTCCACAAACCCAAAGCAGTTTCCCAAGCTCAGGCTTTGGCATGGACAACAACTGGGCATCGCTTCCCACCTCCGCATTCCCAGCAATCCCTCCGCCTGTACCAACCCGGACTAATACCAGCATCAAAAACGCCCAACTCCCTTCCAGAAATGATTTCACTGAGAGATGATATAGTATGGATGTTAAATATGAAGGAAATATTATTGCGTATATGTATGGTTTGTATAAAAGTGCAGATATAATGACCTGTTCGTACAAAAAAAAAGGTAATCTGGCTGTTTATTTTAGCCCAATGTGGGCAGGAAATCAAGACTAAATGCTCTTCAGATTTGAATATGTTGTCATTTGCAAACATATGCATTGCAGCATTTAGCATATTGCACAAGCTACATAATCATTTGTAAAAAATGTACAAATGTTAAATGATATATCTCATCACAACGTCGATGTAATCGTTTTAATCACCCTCATGTCGAAACACAAAAATGAGAACTGTACTCTTTATTTTGGACTTTCATTAAACACTCAAATCCAGTTCTATAATATGTTCTTAAAAAGAAACAAATAGACATGAAATGAGGGTGATTAAAAATTGATTATTCCTAATTTTATTCATCAAATATCCCTTTATTCTATAACCCAATACATCCCAAGAGAAACGTGCTCTTATCATACGCACAGATTTAAAATGCCTGGCTGCGTCTGACCTGTTCTACACCATCATATCTGTTCAATGGGCTTCACGTGAGCTGTGGTACATGCATACATATTTTACGTTTGCCGTTAATCTCATTATGAATGTATTCACCTGTTTCTGTTGCCTACATTTAGGTTTAGAACGTGCGTCATGTGCAGCATTAACAGATGCTTTGCTGCAAACTCAAATCGAGGGTCTTAACTTCTCTCGGTGTTCATGCTATGCTAAAGACCCCATGTCCCAGCCTCAGCACATCCTGTAGCTATATATCGTTGTCAGAATATATCTTCAACACATATTCATAGTGATTCTATGTCTTCCTAGTGAGGAAAAAAAATGTAAAGTGGTTCTGGATTGTGTTTATATTTGCAGCATATACAGTACATGCCATATCTAAAGTGCACTGAAAAGCTCCGTCTGTCTTCTAGGCTGTATTTGTTTCGCGTGGCGGCTCCTCTAATTCATCGACACTGTATATACATGTGCTTTCAGTTTACCCAAAGCTCACCACAGAACTGCTGTATTTATCAAACGTGTCGTGCGCGTGATTGAATTGGTGGGTTCCTCCTTCAGGATGTCGGTCATGCTTTCTTTTGTGCAATGTGTACTTAATCGCTCAATGAAATTGTATTTTTTAAGTTGAACAGGTTGTTGATAATCTATTTATTGTCGTGTGTGGAGGAATACTGTGCTGTATTTTGGAGTGCGTCGTCTGTTTTTGTGTACTTTAGCTGTTTTGCGCGAATGCGCTTGCGTGTTTGGATCGTAATGTTGAGGGTTTCTGGTGTCTTTGTTACATGTCTGCTGACCCCAGTGTCATTATTGCATTACATCTTCGTTGTTTTAGCGATGCAGATTTATTATGGTATCAACTATGGTTCATTATTGACAGTAAGGTGGTCTGTTAAATTAATATTCTGTCATGTTTACTCACACTCATGCTGTCCTAAACTGAAACTAAATCTTCAGAACACAATTGAAATGGACATTTCTGTCCATACATTGAAAGTCTTCTCATTCAGAACTCTTAAAGGGATCAAATCAACTAATAAATATTTATAATTTAAAGCTATTTTCAAAGTGTTTTATGGGATGAAAAGATTTGATTAGTCTTTCATTCACATACAAACACAGATCAGCAAACCATGTTCAACAGCATTTCACTTTGGCATGCTTGCTTGACGCATGAGAACCAAGCAGGTTTGTTTTTGCTCGTCACATGGCAAGCTGAGCTTCTGTAAGAAACCAGTCAGTTTTATTCTTAAGTATCAGTGTTTGCATTTCTGTTTATGGTTGCAAATTAGTGTTTGTATATGAATAAAAGCTTAAATGAAATCTGCCCAACCATATTTATGTATTTTTAGATCTCTTCATGAATAATTTAAAGTAAGTTCTGGATGAACAATTTTTTAATACAGGGTTAGAATTGCTTAGAAATGTCTTCATTTTGGTTCTGAAGATAAAAATTTTGGTTTGGATGTCATGAAGGTGAGTAACTGAAAACAAATTGTAATTTTTGAGTGAACTAACCCTTAAACAGATTATGAATGGTGTAATATGTATGTTAATAATGCTTTGTTGATAAAAGTAAGATATTTTGGCGAATCTCAAATGTGTTTGAGCTCCCAGATTTGTTCAGTTTGTATAGCATTCCAGACGGTGTACTGATGCATTATGGGTGAGTGATCTGATTTTATGTGTGGAGTGATTTTTATTAATGTTTTGCAGGTTTTTAATGTCCCTCAAGGGCGTCATGAAACCATTCCTGGTTATAGTGTAAAGGTGTTTCAGGAAACAGTATTTTATTTGTGCTTCTGTTCCTTGTTTACATTTTGGGTACAAATTTAACATCTGCGTGGCTTTTCATATGTTCGCCTGGGACGTGTTGAGCGACGCATTTTGGCTTTGAGCATTACAGATTTATTTATGTAAAGCACTGAAAGTTTTTGGTTGAACAAGGGGTCAGAGGAATGCCAGCCAGCAGGAATTATTGCAAAGATTTATATTTGAATTAATGCATGAGAAACCATTTCAAAATGCATTCCAAAGCATTAACTGTGAACATCTCCAGAATACAGACTAGTATCAGGTTGTGGATAATATTATTTATTTTTTCTTTAATGACTGATAAACGCAATGTAACCACTTAGCATTCAAAAGCATTTGTTCTGTATGTAATCAAAGCATTAATCCGGACATTGTCTGCGCCAGTCATTAATGAGAAGCAAGGTTTTCTAGAAATAATCGACTCCTTTTGCGAAGTTAACGTTCCTTTGTAGCTTTTAGCCCAGTAGTGAACAGAAGTCTGTGGTATTAACCTTATATGTATGTAAAGACAAACCACAAAACTACAACTAGAATATTGGATCTGTAATTGAAGTGCATACCAAAAGTGCACATTTATGTATGGAGCAATTGATGTTGTATGTATGCAATAATAAATGTAATTCAACATGAAACGTGTTTGAGTTAATATCGCCTACATCCAATTATATTAGAGATGATAACATATAAAAGAGACAGGCAGCAGCCAGTGATGAAAGCTTTATAGACAAAATGTATAATTGTATTTAATTTAGTAAATATTATTTCATTGGGATTTTATTTAATGTTTAATATTTAAAGTATGGATTTGTAATTTTCACAACACTCCATAACATTTTTATTCATTGAATGATTACAGGTAATATATACTGTGAGTATATGTAGTAACATACATCTGTGAGTGTCAAATGATGTCCTTACTGTATATTTATTTAGTGATCACGTTCAACATGATTGATTTTGAAAACCTGTACTAAAATATTTGGCCAAAAAATGCATTTTCATGTTTATTAAAATATGTTTGTGTAATTCTGAAATTTTCAAACAGCTAGAAACAAGTTAGCTGTGTATTAGATCTAGACCGAACAAATATGATAAATCATGGTATTACCATGTTAAAACTGGTTAGAAATCATGTTAATCATGATTTTTATGATTATCATGATTATGTTTGTGTTGTTTATTCTTGTAACTATTTGTGTTGTTGTTAGCTTGTTTCAGTTAACTTATTTGCCAAATGCAGCAAATCCAATTATTGAAGTATTTTTTCTTTTAAAAAGTTTTTCATGTTTATTAAAAGATATTTGTGTAATTTTGTAATTCTCAAACTTATAGTTAGCTGTGTGTTAGATCTTGACAGAACATGCTAGTAATTTAAAAAAGCATGGTATAACCATGTAAAAACATAGTAATCATGCTAACCATGGTTTCATTAAATATTTTTTAATAGTTTCTTATACTTTTGCCGGATTGATTATGACCCTATGATGGTCATTATTATCGGGACCTAGTTGTTTTCCTTTTGTGTTTTGTTTTGTGTGTGCTGTAAAACAGTTTATTTTCGTAACGTTTGTATCGTTGTCAGTTTTTTTTTTGTTTTTTTTTGTTTATTAAACTACGTTGTGTAATTCTGGAACTGCTAGAAACCAGTTAGCCATGTGTTATCCTGACTGCTAAAAATATAATAAAACATGGTATTAACATATTAAACCATGCAATTGATAATGTTTTCATTAAACTAAAACTTTAGTAAATTATGTAACTTAATTTCTTATGTTTTTGCCGAAATAATGACCCTATGATGGTCATTATTATAGCAAACGATTGTTAAATTGTGATGACCTAGTTGTTTTCCTTTTATATGTTTTGTTTTGTGTGTGTTGTAAAACAGTTTATTCTCGTAAGTTAACGTTTTGTGTTGTTGTCAGCGTGTTTCAGTTAACTTATTTGCCAAATGCAGCAAATTTCAAGTATGATTTTTTTCTTCTAATAAGTTTTTTATGTTTATTAAAATATGTTGGTGTAATTATGGAGTTCTCAAACTGCTAAAAACAAGTTAGCTGTGTGTTAGATCTTGGCATGCTATTAGAACATGCTAATAATATAATAATGGTATTTTTAAACCATGTTACCATGCTTTAACTCGTTTATTTTCCTTCGGTTTAGTTCCTTTATTTATCAGAGGTTGCCACAGTGGAATGAACCGCCAATGTTTAACACAGCGGATGTCCTTCCAGCTGCAACCCAGTACCGGGAAACTTTATTTACCTTTATTTATTATTTACCTCAGTCTGCAGGTCCCCTTGATCACCAGTAACGTTACACACGCAAGTCGTTTTAACGGGCATTTATTCTGTAATATCCCACTTCCGGTCAGTCGCTGACACATTCGTCAAGGTTGTTGCTGCCTCCTTCACGCCGTGATGTTGATGTAAATAAATCTGAACCTAACGACAGCTTCAGTCCCGCACACACGGAGCCGTGATGGGGTGTCAGCGGCGCCGCTCCCCGGCCTCTGGAGCCCGTCTGCTGCCGCGTCTGCTCTGCCTGATGTGCTTCTCGGTGGTTATTCTGGCAGAGAACACGGAGATGGTGAATGTAGTGACGGAGAGGAAGGCGGAGGAGAGTCACCGGCAGGACAGCGCCAATCTGCTTATCTTTATCACGCTGCTCACCATCACCATCCTCACCATCTGGCTCTTCAAACACCGCCGCTTCAGGTTCCTGCACGAGACCGGCTTGGCCATGATTTATGGTGAGGAGGTTTTGTTCATCTGTGTTCGTGCTCAAGTTCACACGCAGGAGGATTGTGTGTGTAGGAGGATGGCAGGAATTTTGCGCACGAGCTCCTTCGTGTTCTGTAAATGCGTTATTATCTGTTCATTAATATCATCTTGTAATATCATCTTGCGGAGTATCCGTGTCATTATATAGAAGAATATATATCATGCAGATATAAATACCTGAAAGTTTAAATGTAATATATAAGAATGCCTTATCTGGTATTTGCAAATGTAAAACTTTTATAGTACTAATATTTAAATCAAGTTCATTTAATTATAGATTACATTTGGAGTTCAGTTTAGTTCAGTGTGGTGTAATATTCACTGCTGAAAGCCAAAACACTGAAGAGCAAATCCATCGATGCGCATCCACAAGTCCCGAACCATGCAAGCCAGTGGTGACAGCAGTGAGGAAAAAACTTCACCAACTGGCGAAAGTGAAGGATAAAAAACCTCGAGGGAAGCCAGGCTCATTTGGGCACGAACATTTCTCTTATGGCCAAACGTCTTGTGCAGAGCTGCAGTCTAGGCACCGGAGGCTATTCAAATTATAATGTCTTTTGGGAACTGAGTCTGTTCCCGGCTCCAGTTGCTCCAAATAATGCTGACCATCAATTCTTTAGAGGATTTAGATTTCAAAAGTATTTGTGTTTTATGTGAATGCTAATGCAGAGAGATGTGTCTTTAATCTAGTTTTAAACTGACAGAACGTGTGTCTGCTTCCCGAACTGTGCTAGGAAGCCTGTTCCAGAGTTTAGGTGCCAGATATGAGAAATATCTACCGCCTACAGTTGATTTTGATATTCTGGGAAAATCAATTGACCAGAATCAATTAAGCATAGAAGACATGATGGGCTATAATACACCAGGAGCCCCCTCAAATCTACGCTAAGCCGTGAAATAAGAAGAAATAAGAGAAGAGAAACGACTGAAAAAAATGCAGAAGTAGCAAGGACTATTAAATTGATATTAAAAAGCCAGGCTGAAAAGGTACGTTTTTAGGAGTGATTTTAAAATAGATAGTGATGGAGCCATTATAATCTCAGACGGGGCAAGGTGTACCATAACCGAGGACCTGCCACAGAGAAAGCTCTGTCCTCTCAACATTGCAGTCTGGACTGAGGAACTAAAGAAATATTTTGATCACTTGATCTAAGAGATCTCACAGCAGTGTAAAAATGCAACAGCTCCGAGAGATAGGTTGGGGCTAGATTATGAAGGGATTTAAATACCGGTAAAAGTACTTTCAAATCAATTCTGAATTGGATGGAAACCCAATAGAGGCCCCTCAGAAGAGGCGTTATGTGGTCATATTTTGTTATTACAAATAAATCTCAACGTTTTGGATCAACTAAAGAAATTTGAGATTTTGAAATGCCACAGTAAGGTGCATTGCATAGACAGCTATCTCTAGTGTGGTGGGATTTAAGAAATGTTTGACTTTAGACAGCAAACTGAGTTAATAAAAACTGGAGCCAATAACCAAACTGATCTGTTTGTCTAGTTTCAATGACTCATCATGGATGACACCCAGATTTTGCACATGGAGGGATCTGAAGGCAGACAAGCAGCCCAGATCTAGACATCTAGACTAGGCCTGAATGTTATCAGTATGGCGTAAATCTTAAATATATCCGTTTTAACTGATATTGTAGTAATGTGTGATACATGTAAGTGTATTTTATTAAGTTTTGCAATAAATGCTTTAGGATGTTTCCCAGTGATGGGTTGCAGCTGGAAAGGCATCCGCTGCGTAAAACATGTGCTTGATAAGTTGACGGTTCATTCCACTGTGGATTACCCCAGATTAATAAAGGGACTAAGCCGAAAAGAAAATGAATAAATGAATGAATAAATGCTTTACATTTTATTATAAAAGTCAGTTTTAAAGCAATTTTGTGTAATAATTACATTTAAATAGGTCTTAATTAATAAGTTACAGTTTAACCATTAAAGTACACATAAAATCAGAGCTAACCATATTGATTTTGTTAGCTCACTTTGCTAGTTTTGTGGTGAACAGTTCATCTTTACTTAACCATGTCCCTCTATATGTCAGTTTTGACAGGACTATGACAACAAACAGAAATGGTGAGAAGGAGGTTTTAAAAACTCCCCCTAACCCCATTTTCCCAATCTTTCTTAATGAAGTGCCTATTGTACTACATCCAATCAGCATGCAGTGGAAGAAATCAAGCAACGCCCACTTTCCCCTTATTTAATATTTAATTTCTCTCGGAACTGCATCACAATTTGGGGAAAAAATGGCCACAGCTTCCGGTTCCTGCAGACCTTTATAAATTGATTGATTGATTGATTGTTTCGTGGAGTTGATTGCCGCTGTTTTGCGTTTCTAACAATTAGTGTTATTCTGGAAGAAACTGCCTACCAAAATACATATTTATCCTTATAACTTGACCATTGAGTTTGTGAGTTCTGTGATTGTGTGCTTTATTTAACATTGTGTATTGAAACCATTTTTTACTCCATATGTTTTCCTACTCCAGGTTTGTTTGTGGGCGTGATTCTGCGATTTGGTGTCCATTCGCCACAGGACACGAGCGAAGTCACTCTGAGTTGTGCAGTGAACAGCAGTCCCACCACAATCCTGGTGAACGTAAGCGGCCGATTCTACGAGTACAGCCTGAAAGGAGAGGTGCAGGACAGCAAGGGCCACGATGTGCCCAATGCAGAGATGCTCAGGAAGGTACTGCTTTTAAAGGGGCCCTGATGCTTTTTACACTAGTTTTACTCTTTAGTGTAGCTAATCTTTCTGTCTGCACTTTCTGTCTTTGAACTCAGAAAATTTAATGAAAAAATAAAAAATTTTAATACAAAAACAGAGCCTATATTTATAACAAAACAGAGCCTATAACACAACCACCTCCTTTTATTTTCATTGAAAAGACTAAACATACCCTCTGTTGTGCTGAATATCAGTTTTAATAATCAATAATGGCCATTATAAAAGTATAACACACAATAAGTTTACACAATGTAGGAAATAAAGGCAATCAGTCAATATGTCAAATCAGTGTATGTGGTTACATATATTAACTTATATTTGCGCTCAGCCAAAACACGTTACCTGAGAACAAGTAATAGATTAAAAAGACCAAGGAGTCGTTAGATAGAGACAAAATTAATTAAATATCACGTTTAACTACTATAGTGAGATGAAATCCAGTGGTATATGCTTGATGAACTGTCCAATGTGCGCTGCTCTCATCTGGGGTTTTGCGCTCAAAGCACCCGCTGACTGCCTGGAGCTCAGATGTGCACATATGCTGCAGCGCATGCCAGAGTGTGTGTATAGTCACGCAATGTGCGTTTTCAGTGGTATAGTGTGGATGGAGAACTTTTCAGAAACGCAAGATGAAATGCCAGTGTGACTGTAATCAGTTTTGTTCTAAAATGCTGTTTTATAACTAAAATGTATTAGTGTAAAAAGAGTTTAAGCTGACAAAACTTAAAAACATACATATGTTTTGTTTGTTGTTGCTGGACTGGCCAAGACACTGGCTGTAAAGACACCTCCTTCTTATGGAAAAGGAGACAAACAAACTGAATTGTATTGTAGCCTGGTATTATTAAATTCCATTTTAAGTGTATAAAGTTTATTTTGCTAGTGCACATTGTTAATTTTTAGATGAACAAGTTAGTCCACTGAAAATAAGTTTGTTTTAGTAATCTTTATGCTGTAACACTCGTCTTTAAATCAACGGGATACACAAGAAAAAAATAAAAGATATGGTTCAATTCTCTAGTTTCTGTATTCAAATTTTATCATGGATTGAGAGATAGTCTATGTAATAGAACCACAAATGTCTCTGAACAAGTCTTAACCATGAAACAAAAAACACAAACAACATTTATACAATAACATAATACAAAAATGGTGAGTGAGGGTGTGTGTGTATGTATGTATGTATATGTGCAAAGTCCAAAGTCCGTGGATGAGAGTATATGCAAAATGGATTGTTCTCACCAGAAAGGTTTGAGTCCAGATAATTGTACCATCATAAGTTGCAAGTGTCCTCTTAGGATAGTCTTTACTTCAGACCTGAAAGACTAACAAGTCCAAAAAGGGCAAAAAATCCACAAAAACGATTGTCCTCCGCACACGAAAACAAGAAAAAGGTAGACCTTGGCAAACTCTTACTCCATGTGCTCCTCTGACTTCTTCAGATGACACTGTGAGTAATGTCCAGGTGCCCTCTATCTCCCCCTTGTGGTGAGTATGTTATGTGAATGTGTATAAATAGAAAAAGATCAACAGAACAGGAAATAGAACACCGATACATTCACTTCACCTCATCCCTTCAAAATAAAGAATCTAAAATAAAAGTCCATTACTCATTTGTATATTCGGAGCCTCAAGAACCGTGAGTATGCTTTACTGCCAGGCCTATTCACACATTTAATGAACATAACAGAAAGTGTACCTCAATTATGTGGCAGCGCTACAATGCAAAGTCTAAACAGTTCCCTAACCATTACTTTGCCGAGGGAATGATGCACAAAAAGAAAGCCCCGCCCCCTACTCTAAATATTCCATTTCAGTTGAAAGCACATGAGCATACTAAAATAAAAGTTTCAGCAACTTCTGGTTGACGCAGATTTAATGATATGTGAGGTGTTTTGAGCTGAAACCAAAGCTGGGATACCTAACATTTATTTTGCTTCTGGTGTTTAAAAAAGAGCTATCTGGGATCATTTCGTTTGGATCTTTCCTTATACTGAGAGTGCAGATGTGAACGTTTTGTGCGCAGGATTTCGTTCTCATTCTTGTAAATCTGCTTCTAGGTTACTTTTGATCCTGAGGTTTTCTTCAACATTTTGCTTCCACCCATCATCTTTCATGCAGGATACAGTCTAAAGCGAGTAAGAATATGTCAAGAATACATACTTCTCTAAACACACATTTTAAATAAGTCTTAATTGATTTAATTGAATTCATGTATTACAGTGCAGTCCATATTAATTGTGTAATAAATGCTTGATCTTAATAATTCTAAGACCTAAATGTAAATTGATATATTTTTTAAACATTCAGGTCAGTTTGGAAAGTTTATAATTAAACTTTAAATCTTATTCTTAATTTATTATTATTAACAATAGATGGTGTTAAGGCCGAAACTAATGTAAATATGTCTAAATGTAATTATTTATTTTAGCAAAAATTACTAAATATTTTTTTGTTAGTGATTGATGTAACTGACGAAAAAGTGTTGTTGATGTTGTTGATGTTAATGTTTATTAATGATGTTATTTTTAATTATTCATTTTTATTTGTTTATTCATTTTTATCATCAGAGGCATTTTTTCAGAAATTTGGGCTCCATCCTCTCCTACGCCTTTGTGGGCACAATGACATCATGCTTTGTTACAGGGTGAGTGAAGACGTTTCTAAAAGATTCTTTTGTCATAAAAAAAACATATAATAGATACTGATGTTTCTGTGTGGATTTTGCATGTTCTCCCCGTTTTCATGGGGGTTTCCTCTGAGTACTCCAGTTTCCCCTACAGTCTGAAGACATGCGGTAGAGGTGAATTGATTAAACTACCCTACCTGACAAAAGTCTTGTCGTTGATCCCAGATGTAAGGGCAACAAATAATGACTGGGCGTCTAGTTGATCATTTGGAAAAGTGGCAGAAGGTAGATTCATTTTCCGATGAATAATCTGTTGAACTGCTTCCCAAATACTGCAGAAGACCTATTGGTACCCACATGGACCCAAGATTCTCACAGAAATCAGTCAAGTTTGGTGAAGGAAAAATCATGGTTTGGGGTTACATTCAGTATAGGGGCGTGCGAGAGATGTGCAGAGTGGATGGGAACATCAGCAGCCTGAGGTATCAAGACAAGTGTGCTGCCTATTACATTACAAACAACAGGGGTAACAGGAAAAGTTGCAGGATCGCGCAACCCTGCTGATAATTCTTCAGCAGGATAGCACTCCTTCTCATACTTCAGCCTCCACATCAAAGTTCCTGAAAGCAAAGAAGGTCAAGGTGCTCCAGGATTGGCCAGATCAATCACAACATATGAACATTATTGAGCATGTCTGGGGTAAGATAAAGGAGGAGGCATTGAAGATGAATCCAAAGAATCTTGATGATCTCTGTAAGTCCTACAAGAATTCTTTCTTTGCTATTCCAGATGACTTTATTAATAAGTTATTTGAGTCATTGCATAGATGTGTGGATGCAATCGTCTGAGCTCATGGGAGTCATACACAATAGTAATTATTTTTCCACTGCACCCTGACTTTACAGTAAATTCTATACTGGACATTATTTTTGTTAACTAACAAGACTTTTGTCTCTGCAAAGTCAGACCTTACTGTCCTATTTAAATAATTAAAAGTCAAGGACAAAGCATGATCATATTTTTTGCGGTAAATTAAGCATAATCTAGAGGCCTTTGCCTTTCATATAAGCCACTTCTGATACCAAATTATCAACTAGAAGTCAAATCATTATTTGCTGTTTTGGTAGCTACCTGACTTTTGTCAGATAGTGTAAACTGTCTGTAGTACTGTGTGTGTGTATGTGTGTGAATGAGTGTGTATGGGTGTTTCCCAGTACTGGGTTGCATCTGGAACGGCATCCGCTGTGTAAAACACATGCTGCGATAGTTGACAGTTCATTTCACTGTGGCACCCTCTAAAATTGAGACTGAAGGAAAATGAATGAATGAATTGATGTTGTGAAATGTGCAGGTTGGCGATGTACAGCTGTGTGGTGTTCATGAAAATCATCGGTCAGCTTGGAGGAGATTTCTTTTTCACCGACTGCCTTTTCTTCGGTGCTATTGTATCTGCTACAGATCCAGGTATTGTTTCAGCTTTGGTATTATTAGTGCCTCAAGCTCTTGTTAGTGATGTATTTATTTAGCTGCAATGATATATGACTAATATTTACAAGGTTTGAATTGCTTATAGTGACTGTTCTGGCCATTTTCAATGAGCTGAAAGTTGATGTGGATCTCTACGCACTCATGTTCGGTGAAAGCGTCCTGAATGATGCTGTGGCTATCGTCCTGTCATCGTGAGTGAATTTCCTTATGCGCAAAATTATATATACACACATACAGGACTGGGTGATAAATTATGTCATATTGAGCGTATAAGACTTTTTGTTTTTTCTAATATTTAAATTAAACCAGATATATATATACATACAGTTGAAGTCAGAATTATTAGCCTTTATGTATATTTTTGTCACAAATTTCTGTTTAATAGAAAGATTTTTTTAACACATTGCACACAAACATAATTGTATTAATAACTAATTTCTTAGAACTGATTTCTTTTGTGTTTGCCATGATGCCAGTGCAAAATATTTTATTAGATATTTTTCACAATACTAGTATTCTGCTTAAAGTGTAATTTAAAGGCTTAACTACTTTAACCTATAAAGACCGAAACAGCTGCCCGCGGGTAAAAATAAGTATTGTTCATAATTGTTTAATTACTTTTGATCCGCTGATCCGATCCGTACAATTCAAAGATTGGCATAAAGAAGAGAGTCTACATTCACGGACCTTTGGAGGCTCCGGAATCAGTTTGGTTATGTCATCACATTTTGACAACGCTGATTTGACAAAGAAACGCTCATGGCTTGTGTCTCCGGACAAACCAGACATGATGCATTGATGCATTGTCCCTTCTCCATGCAAAGATTGGTTTAAACTCGCTCTCTCTCTCAACCAATAAGCATAAGTTCTGCTTTGTGGACCAGCAATCAGCTATTTGAACAATCCGGAATGAGAAATAGAATGTACATTTACGCACGGTCATTATTGAATCTAGTTTAGTTATGTAACTACTTATAGTATGGTAAATATTTATATCTATTTTTTTTTTACTGAGGATTTGCACCATGTTTATTTGGACTTTGACGCATTATTGATTATTTTCTTATTTTTTATTTGTTCATTGTAAGTGATGTTGTTTATGGTAACTGAAAATATATTATTTGGAAAAAGTCAAATTTGTTTCAGTGTTCTGTTATTTTGTAACAATTTTTCTGTTTAGTTCATTCCCAGAACTTTTGGGCAAATACATTGTCAGTAAGTAAATGCACTAGTTTTTTCCCACTGAAAGACGCCTAAGAATAACATTGAAATAAATTGCCATAACTTGCTCAGGGAAAGGTGGATGTAGACAAGATTTATTTTGGAAGTATAAAACATCATAGTGTGTATTTCTAATGAAAAAAAAACTTTATGAGGTTTTGTTTGTAATAACTAGAAAATGGCACTTTTTAAAAAAACGTTTTTCTTAAAATTCTGAAATATTTTCTGTATGTTCATATTTTTTTGGACCAAAAAATATTTTAGACTGGACCTTTAAATGATACAGATTAAAGCTTCAGGTTCTCCTGTTTAAAATAATATATGACACTTGAGGCTGACTGCTAAAATAACAATAAAAACTGCTTTAAAAAAAATAAAAAATAATATGGCCCATTAGGTGCCCACAAAATACCTTTAGGTCTTTAAGGGTTAATTCGACAAGCTAGGGTAATTAGGCAAGTCATTGTATATCGATGTTCTGTAGAAAATCAAAGGAGGCTAATAACCTAAAATGTTTTTGTTTTTTTATTAAAAACTGCTTTTATTCTAGCCGAAATAAAACAAATAAGACTTTTCTACAAAAGAAAAAGTATTATTGGAAATACCGTGAAAAAAAATCTTTGCTCTGTTAAACATCATTTGGGAAATATTTGAAAAAGAAAAAAATTACCGGAGGGCCAATAATTTGGACTTCAATATTATACATTTAAGCATGTCTCAATATGGAATTATATGAACCAGCTGTATGGGACACTTAAGTATGATCAATGAAACATTAATAACTTAAATTATAAAATTACACGCTTTAAACAAATGAATTCTCATACGATTGTCAAAGTAAATGTCCTTTATTAAACTTTACAATTACACAATACAATTTTCAACAAGCTCCAGACATTTTTACTTTATATAAATGAATCTAATATTTTTGTTCTGTATCTAATTCATGTAATATGTTTCATTATGTAGTGTTTTTGATTAAAATAAAAAATTCTGTGTAGAATAAAGTCATTTTTTTTTTCATTTATTTCAGTAGGCATTTTGCTGATAAATTTGCATAAAACACATCTAGAATAAAGCTATTGCTTCTGTTTATTTACTTCTGAAAATTGCTAAATTTTTAAATTTAAGAATAAGTATAGTGGTTACCGTTCAAATGTTCTAGGATGGAAAGATGTTTTAATATTTTTGAAAGAATCTTATACTCTTAAATTTTATTAAAATTTCAAAGATATAATATATAATTGTAATAATATTTTTTTTATATTTTATTTTTTGTCATCTTCAAAGTTACATTATTCTCCGGAAATCATTCTAATACATTAACTTGCTGCTCAAGAAACTATTTATTAATTCAATTATTTTACATATTAATTAATATTATTCATTCATTCATTTTCTTGTCGGCTTAGTCCCTTTATTAATCTGGGGTCGCCACAGCAGAATGAACCGCCAACTTATCCAGCAGATTTTTACGCAGCGGATGCCCTTCCAGCTGCAACCCATCTCTGAAAAACGAATTAATATTATTATTGTTGAATGTGGCGCGTTGGCGCAGTGGGCATTGATGTTGCCTAACAGCAAGAAGGTCGCTGGTTCGAGCCTCGGCTTGGTCAGTTGGCATTTCTGTGTGGAGTTTTCATGTTCTCCCTGTGTTCGTGTGGCGGTTCATTCCGCTGTGGCGACCCCTGATTAATAAAGGGACTAAACCGTAGAGAAAATGAATGAATATTAATGTTGAAAAAAGTTGATTAATAGTTTAAGAAATTTCAAAGGAGCAACATTTATGTATTTATGAAATATTACTTTTTGGGCCACACAGTGGCTCAGTGGTTAGCACTGTCGCCTCACAGCAAGACGGTTGCTGGTTCGAGCCCCGGCTGGGTCAGTTGCCATTTCTGTGTGGAGTTTGCATGTTTTCCCCATGTTGGAGTGGGTTTCCTCCGGTGCTTAGGTTCACAGTCCAAAGACATGCGTTATAGGTGAATTGAATGAACTAAATTGGCCAAAGGAAAATGAATGAAGTAATAAATAATACTTGTTTCCTCAATTTAATTTTAAATAGTAATAAAGGGCGCAATTAAAAGTTATATTGCATTTATTTAAAGCATATTGTGAGTGTATAATAAGCATGTTCAGTCAATCATGAATTGTTTTATTTCGATATAAAATAGAGCGTCTTGTTCCCCTGCTGACAGATCAATAGTGGCGTACCAGCCTGAAGGAGACAACAGACACACATTTGATGCCAGCGCCCTGCTCAAGTGTCTGGGTGTTTTTCTGGGAGTTTTCAGTGGCTCTTTTGCAATGGGGGCTGCAACTGGAGTCATGACAGCTCTGGTACTTTTATCCTTTTGTTATGTACATAAACTAACCAGATGAATCATTCTAAACTTAGGTCATTGATATTTTAATATCTGCATTATTAGGTCACAAAGTTCACCAAACTGAGAGATTTCCCATTGCTGGAAACGGCCCTGTTCTTCCTCATGTCCTGGAGTACCTTCCTATTAGCCGAGGCCTGCGGTTTCACAGGTACAAACACTGTGATAGAAATCTCTGTTTAGCCACATGCTGAAAATGACATAATGGAAAGCAGTATACTGTTTGTTTATGCAGATGGGTGAGTTCTCTGAATAGGTTTATTGCAGGAGTGCTTGATTCTGATTGGTCAGTCGTGACCTCAGTGGAGAAATATTTCTATTGTGCAATATATTGATCAGCTGACATTGTCAGTGTTATAAATCAAAAAGTATGTTTTTATTGCTATTTATTAGTGAATAACACGGTTTATAATTGTTATAAAATGAAATGTAAATACTTTATTAGTAATAATAAAACAATGCATATGAGGTTCTTTCAAGATTATTTGACCAGCATGAAAAGTTGAAAAGAACATTTATTTTAAATAATACTATTTTGCAAAACATAAATTAAAACTGTTAAAAAATATAATATAATATGATATAATATAATATAATATAATATAATATAATATAATATAATATAATATAATATAATATAATATAATTGTAAAATCACAAACACAAAAAGAAAAGTATAAATTTTAAAAGTAGACATTAGGGGCCCTATCATACACCCAGCGCAATAAGGCGCAAGGCGTGTTTGTTGCTATTTTCTGACCAAGCGCAACCCTAATTTTTGTGTTTTGCGTCATGTTGTTTAAATAGCAAATCCATTTACACCACTTTGTGGACTGATGGGTTTTCTGGTCTAGAAAAGAGGTGTGTTAAAGCGCATTGTTGGCTGATTGCTATTTTGAGGAACTAAATTAGACCGTGCAATAGACCAGCTGGAAGCAGGTCTAAAGTCTAGCGCACAGTGCATTAGTTGTGCGCATCGCTTGCACATTGCTTAAAACATGCGGGATGTACAGCCATACGCAAATATCTTTACAAATAAAAAAGAATTAAAAGATTAAAATATTACAAAAATTATTATTTTCTTTATAAATAAATATAAAAAACTTTATTGTAAGGTGTTACTAAAATATATATATTTATTGAAATTATTTTTTGACATTAAAACATAAAACAACTAAAACTGTTTTAAAAAGTATAACAACTAACATATAACAACTAAAAAAAAAAATATATATATATATATATATATAATTATTAAAATACTAAAAGCCTTTAGTACAAAAATAAAAAAGCAATAGAAAGATATTGAAACAAAAAAGTTAAAAGCACATGATATTTACAAAAGTACAGCTAATTCAAATAGTTAATAATGAAGTAGTATAAAGCCGATCATTTGATTGACAAGCAGGCACAGCTGTGAATGATTTCAGCTGTCTGTCTGCTTAAACAGGTAGGAGGAGCCACAGACAACAAGAAAAATACAAGAACACATACACAGGAAAACAAAACAAAATCAACCCATCTCTGGATGTAACATCAGTATATGAATTAAAATAATGTGTGTCTGTGTTCAGGTGTGGTGGCAGTGCTCTTCTGCGGCATTACTCAGGCTCATTATACATACAATAACCTTTCAGTCGAATCAAAGAGCAGAACCAAACAGGTAACACACGTTCTCAAGACTACAAACAACTGTCCAAGCTGTTTACATCTCACAGTGAATTCTCTGCTGAAGTTTTGTATACTGATTCTATTGTCCTCCATTTCCTCTCACAGTTGTTTGAGCTGCTGAATTTCCTGGCTGAAAACTTCATCTTCTCCTACATGGGCTTAACACTCTTCTCCTTCCAGCACCACGTCTTCAATCCCTTCTTCATCATAGGCGCTTTTGTATCCTTTTCAAGCCGTGTGTTTGTGCTGTAATCATGAACTGTGTACAGATAAACATTCGCATTTCTCCTTGACTGTGGCTTTTGTTTCCAGGTGGCCATATTTCTTGGTAGGGTGGCTAATATTTACCCCTTGTCTTTCCTGTTAAACCTGGGCCGCAAGAACAAAATCCCATCTAACTTTCAGCATGTCATGATGTTTTCAGGTAAAAAGATTGTGAATTGAGATGCATAAAATTGGATTTGTGGCAATATCCAGTACGCCGATAACTGTTTTCTTTTTTTTTTGTGGTTAGCTAATAGTGTGTGTGTGTGTGTGTGTGTGTGTGTGTGTGTGTGTGTGTGTGTGTGTGTGTGTGTGTGTGTGTGTGTGTGTGTGTGTGTGTGTGACATATCAGGACACAAATCTGTGTAATTACATGGCTATGACACAGGTATTACAAAAAGGGGGTGAAATTTAAGGACATTGGTGACTTCCTCATTTCTCAAAAAGCTTATAAATCACACAGAATTAGTTTTTTCAGTGAGTAAAGCTGCACACAGTCCTCTGTGATGGTTGGGTTTAGGGGTAAGGTGGGGTGAGGGCAATCTAATATACGGTTTGAATAGTATAAAATGAATGGAAACCTATGTAATGTACCCATTTTTCACAATAACAAACGTGTGTGTGTGTGTGTGTGTGTGTGTGTGTGTGTGTGTGTGTGTGTGTGTGTGTGTGTGTGTGCGTGCGTGCGTGTGTGTGTGCGTGCGTGTGTGTGCGTGTGTGCGCCTGTACTTTGGGAAAACTTAATTTACAGTTGTCAGGTTAAAATGTTTATAGTTTTATTTTAAAAAAAGTTTTAAATAAAAAAAACATAGGATTTGGTACAAAAATTAATAAACTGAACTAAATGAACTGATGCTTTCAGGTAAAAAAAAACATTTAAATTGAATTTAAATATCCCATGAGCCGAATATTATTTTTAACTAGTTTTTTTCTACTTTTGGTCGATAGCTGATTCGTATACTAATGTTTTATATATGTGTGTGTGCACATGTGTGTGTTTTGGGAAAACTTTAGTTACAGTTGTCTGGTCTATGATGATTTCTCATGAGATTTAGCTTCTAAACGTTAAATCAGGCTTGTAATTTTATGACACCAATAAATAATTAATTCCTTAATGTTTTACTTTAACATTAATTTTTTTTAAAGCGGGATTAAAAGAGCCAATACTGAAATAAGCTGTGTATGATTATCAGTTGTCACATAATCCTTTTATTCATAAATTCTGACTATTAATTCAAGCTTCGATGACATAACTTCAGTCAAACTCAAAATTCTATGAAATAACTTTTTATTATTTTACTAGTCTAATGCTTATAGACTGTTAAAGGGGGCCAATCATGCCCCTTTTTACAAGATGTAAAATAAGTCTCTGAAATCTCTAGTGTATGTGACGTTTCAGCTCAAATTACCACACAAGTAGTTTTGTATGCCTCTTTAAAACTGCTCCTTTTAGGCTTTGAACCAAATTGTGCTCTTTTGGTGACTGTCACTTTAAATTCAAATAAAGCTGTGATCCTGGACATCTTTTCAAAAAAGGGGGAGCTATAAACGCCTATCTGTCAGCATAATGGCAGATACAAATCTCTAATGGCGGACGGCTGCTTCTCACTCAGGGCTGTTTATGCTAATGAGGGAAAGATTGTCACTAATGACCAGGCCTTCCAGGGACTTCCTATGGCATGTACAAAGGAAGAATGTCAGTCAAAGTGATTCTACAGACTGTTTTAATCAAGTGTGATGATAAAAAGTAGAACAAATTAATGTTTACCATTAGAGACTGCCTCTATTCACACTGATGCCACACAACTCTGTTTAAACCCCATATGAAAGTGATTTTTGCATAACAGGTCCCCTCGAAGGCTCGTTCACAATAACTAAATATGAACTGTAAGTTGAACTAAAAAATCTATTTATTTTAGTTTGTGCTTTTCATTTGGCATTACCCCCTTGTAAGCACCAAGTATTCTCAGTGTGTTACTAGTGCATCTGAGCAGTGAACCTTTATATAAAAATGTATTGATCTAATCAAACTAATTTAATGATTGTTGTCAGTGTAGTGGAATTAAAAACAACAAAAAAAGACAAAACAAAGATGCCGAAACTAGCACTTGATGCCTGAGGTACTTCAGTTTTCTTGCCTGGCTTGCATGACTTCCGTGTATTTTTACAGTTCTTTTCCGTAATATAATCAGTTGTATTCTAGAAAATCATTATCTTTAAATAATTTTTGAAACAAGGGTTTAACATCAAGCAATAAGTATACAGATAAGTATACGCCTGTAAAATGATTTGTTTTCAAAACCTGCGGTACTTTATAATGTTAACTCAGAAATTAAAAGCACATGTTTTGCCATGTTAGTGTTAAGTTAATGGATTCATCTACAGAAACTTTCTTTTTAGCGTAAAGTTAGCATACACACCAATTCGTTTAATGTTTCTTTAAAATAATTAAAATAGTTTTCAGTTACTAAACATTAAAAACCTTACCTTTCTGACCGGAATCCAAGGGAAAGTTTTGAAAAACCAAACAAACTTCTTTTTCTTCCTGGGATCTTCATGGCGGTTGGCAACTAGTTTTTTGGAGCATTACTGCCACCGTCTGGATTGGAGTTTGGATCAGGAGTTTACTCCAATGTTCTGATATATCTCGTTTACTCACGTGTTTCTTATAAAACCAACTTCTGCTTTAAAAACAGTCGGCAAAGGAGCGTGCCGTCTTGAAAATAAGCGCATTTTACACCGTTTTTCTATAAATTATATATATAATCCATTTATAAATAATATTGTTTTGTTTACGTCTAAACATTGCGACCATCCACACTAAATATTCTTATTATTTTGTTGCTGTCATATCATGAATATTTTCTCAAATTATCATTAAACGTGGAGCTGACAGATTACTAGATAAAATAAGAATTTAATCATTTGCCATCAGCCGAGTCCTTGCCAGAAGTGGCCCGGACTCTACAGACAGACTCGTGCCAGATATGGTTGACTGGAATCGGGCCAGTGCTTTACAGCCGCATCACAACAGCATGTGCGCGAGCGAGCTGCAGGCCGAACTCGGCCCGGATAACACTCGCTAATGCCGAGTCGGAGCCGGAGGCGCCGAAGGGCAGCCGAGCTTGGCTGATTAATTACTACCTGCTATCTGGGAAAGCATCTCCAAAATACTGTCTGTAGCTTTAAGTTGTGTTAGCACTTTATATTTGAATGAATTCTGGCTAGCTGTCAGCGTTTTAGTATTTATAGCTGAAAAAAAAATAAAAAATTTGATGTTCAGTATGATTGTTGACCTCTATTGCTATCTATATAGCGAACATACTTGAGAGTGTCCACCTCTAAAATGACCAGACGGTCATCTTATCTGCAAGACATATTGGCATAATATTCTGATAATACCGATATTTACATTGCAAGCCATTATCGGTTGGATTATTGAGCTTTTTTCGGATAAAATTTTACATTTCTTAAATAAAACGGTCGACATTTAAAATGCTAATTTTCTTGTCACCTTTTGGCCTCACAGGACTCAGAGGAGCAATGACGTTTGCGCTCTCAATACGGGACACTGCGACGTACGCCAGACAGATGATGTTTTCCACCACACTACTGATCGTGTTCTTCACTGTGTGGGTCTGCGGTGGTGGAACGACCCCCGTGCTGTCGCTTATGCAGATTCGGTGAGGCTCATTGGACTAAAATACTTGCTGGAACCTAATTAGATTTTTTTCAATGTTATTATTTTTTAAATTGTTTAATGAAAAAACTCATTTTAAATAACAATATTTGGCAAATGCTTGACATTATGCCAATATATATGTTTCTGTCAACTTATTTTAATGCACACTTTAAAATATTGCATAAGAAAAGATAGAAAATAGGCACTTTTGTGCTGAATTGTGGCAAAAAAAAAATTATTTGCTACAAGCATAAAATATTCAACATATTCATTATTCAATAAGCAAGTTTTGTTTTGACCGGAAACAACTAAGGCTGCTCCCAAAAGATAATAATATGATGTACAAGATGCATAATTGTGGAAAGACATTTACATTTTACATTATTTACATTATTTACATTTAAACAAAAACTCTCTGAACTGTCAAAAGTCTGAATTTGCCAGGGGTATGAATAATTTCAGCTTGAGTGTATGTGATGTTGCCATAGCAGATAAAGTGATGGATGATTTTACTAACTAGTGGACCAGTCTTATTTGTGCCTGAAATGTTGTTTTAATAAATCTGCAAGCACCAGAACAGAAGTCCATCATCAGCATGATTTTGCGTAGGTACTTCCTAGAACTGCTTTACAAGATTGTATTCCCAAACATCAGTCTCTGCCTCCAAACACAAGATAACATGACAGGCTCTGTTATTGCGTCTGGTGTTTTCCTGCTTGCATAATAATAGTATACAATACTAGTTTTGCATGAAGTGAGAATTCTATTTTCTTTATTTACTTCTTTATTTCTACATGTTTTATGTGGCATTCTAATTTTGTGTGCAATTAAAATTCATAACTATGAATGGAAATATAGCTAGTGTTTTAAAAACAAATTGCATCCATACATCCAATTACATGATGAATGTAGTGTAAATACCCCCTTAGTCCTTCTGAGTTGACTCCTAAAAATCAATGTGTATATTTTGGCTATGAAATGTTCATATAGCGAAAACGATGCCTGGAATATTAACAGTAATGTTGTTATTATGTTTTTAATTAAGAAATCATGTTGTGGTTAGTTTTGAAGCTATAAAATAAAGAAAACAAAGTTATCTTGAAGTAGTTGAACATTCTGAGAAAAACTAAGAAAGAAAGAAAAAACGCCAACCCCTAAAGTAGTTGAAGTCCAAATCATTCTTGTATTTTGGTCTAAATGGTATTATCTCTCCACAGAGTGGGAGTGGACACAGAACAAGATAATTCGGTAAGTTTAATCATCATTAAAAAAAAAAAAAAACAACTGTGTTGAACATTCAAATATTTACTGTACAAATCTGAAGCATAAGGGTGGCATAACACACTATAGTAACTGTCTTGGGTTTCCTCTCTGCTCATACTACAGGCTACAGCGGCGGACGGGATGACACAGAGAAGTACCAAGCATGAGAGCGCCTGGCCTTTCAGACTGTGGTATACTTTTGACCACAAGTATCCTTTAGTTGAACATTTAAATCAGGGTGTCCGCGGGGTCATAAAAAGTATTTAAAGTTGATAAATCAATTATGATAAAATTAAGGCTCTTAAAAGGTATTAAAAAGTCTTAATCGTGTTTTACGAGGTCTGAAATTTTGTTCAATCGTTGTCCAAGATGTTTGACTCCAATAAAGCATACATATATTTATTATCCTTGTAATATTAACAACAATGTGCTCGATCCACGCGATTGGTTCAGGCAAGGGCGCATTCAGCCAAACTCTTCCGTCTGGGTGATGTCACGTAATTTGCGACAAACGCTGGATATGGTTGACTGGTTGATTTTTTTCAATGTTACTATTTTTTTAATTGTTTAATGAAAAAACTCATTTTAAATAACAATATTTGGCAAATGTATTAAAAGGTATTAAAAAGTTTTAATCGTGTTTTTACGAGGTCTGGAATTTTGTTGAAGCGTTGTCCTAGATGTTTGACTCCAATAAAGCATAAATATATTTATTTTCCTTGTAATATTAACAACAATGTGCTCGATCCACACGATTGGTTCGGGCTAGGGTGCGTCCAGCCAAACTCTTCCGTCTGGATGATGTGACGTAATTTGCGACAAACGCTGGAAGGTTTTGTTACGTTCTCCATATGTATCGAAACCATAAAGCAAAACAGATGGCAAAATGGGAAAATATTGCGTACTTCTGGTTGGAGAAAGATGAGTTTAAACAGTGATTGAAGCCTGTCGCTAAAAACAAACTCGTAATTTATTCTTTGAACCTTTGTTTCTTCCAAGCTTATCTCAGTTCTGTTGCATGGTTGTGCTTCATTGATTTATTTAACTACAACTGTTTATTAACAACTGTTATTTAAGTTAAAGTTTTGATACTGATTAGAACTTAAAGTGGCGATGAGGTCTTAAAAAAGGTCTTTAAAAAGTCTTAAAAAGGTATTAAAATTACCTTAAGGATTCCTGCATATACCCTGTAAATGAATGGGTTGTTCTGTTTAAGTCTTCTGTTGAACACTAAAGCAGTTACTTTGAAGAATGTTGTCAATCAGACAGTAGCCAGTACTACCTGTTGACTTCTATTGTATTTGTTTTCTACTGTAGAAGCCAATGGAAACCATCAACTGTCATTCTTCAAAATATCTTCTCTTATCTTCTTTGTATTCAACAGACGATATAGACTCCCACTGGTTGGAAATAACTCAAGAGTGACTAAATGATGACAGATTTTTCATCCCTTTAAGTTGTTTTGTGTCACGTAAGCATGATTTATTTGCAGATGATAACTTTTTTAGTTTACACATATGTTATGTGTCCGATTAGACAATAGTTGTTGGCAACCACATTACAATATGTGTCTAGCAGTATGTCTACAGGACAGCATGATAAACAGTAAAGAGTGCTAATGTTCAGCTGGAAAACCGACGTCAAGCTTATATATATGGAAGATCTTATATTAATCTCAGTCAAAAGAGTATCTGAGAACATTAAATGACAATGCATTTATTAAAATGTACATATATGTAAAATATTAATATTTTTAATGTTTCTGTAATTTAACAAAGCATCTTGTGTTTTATATTTATGTTTATAAATATACATTTATAATATAATAATTACCAGCTTATGTCTTGGTGCCCCCCCTGCAATTCCTACTCAAACCTTCAGGGGGAAACCCTGCACTAGGAATATCATTTTGATAAACTGACATCGTCAATAGTTACTCTAATTATATTGTTGTTCTACAAAAAAGTCAATAAAGTACAGAAGTATAAAGAGTAAAACAATTCCAAAAACAATTATAAACCATAAGGAAAAGTAAATCATAGAAACTATGCATGATGTATAAGATATGTCAAATTTATGAAAACAACAGTGTTATCGTTTAAGTTAACACAAACCCAATTGTTGTGATATGTGTATTGATTGTGGAAGTAAAAAAGAATTATAAAGTTGGACTGATAAATGAAATTCAGATTTAATGAACAGTATGAACTTCTTTGG